ACCACATTGCGCGGCGCGTCTGCAGCGGCTGGGGTAATAAGCACAAAACAACGCGTGTCATGCCTTGCGATGCGCCGTAGGGCTTTTCTGGTTTATGTTTAATAATAATCCAATTTATCACATTTTGTCGAGGAAACTTTAAACGAGCTCGCGTCGCGCCCGTAGCAAGTCAGCGGAAAGCTTCTAATGAAGCTGCGTGGTAGCCGTGCTTAATTGGGCTGAATCCTGAGACCTGAAGCATAATAGAGGTCCTCCAACGCTCTCTTCTACATCTTTCTCTCAATCTTTCTCTCCTTTGTATTGTTACTCCGACTGCTGCTGCTGCTGGAGTGCCTTGCTTTTATATTTAAAAAAAGAAAGAACATCCACTCATGCCCACGAGGAATAACGTTTTGAAAAGTGTCGCGCCAAGAATCACACTTGCGCCGACTCGTTTCATGTAGCCTCTACACGTGTCATTTGTACTTGAAGAGACATCACAAGGAGGGCACTTAAAGGATAGAGTTCTAATGACGTTAGTTTAGATTATTTTTTACGCATATTTCTTGCCAGCATATGCAGCATACGGCTGCATGGGCCATGCATAAGGGAGGCCACATCTCAGCTCTGAATAATGTTGTATAATGTTCTGAACAGCCCTTTGTCAATCCACTGGTGGATGAAGGCTTGCTCATGCACTGTCATGATGGGTTGTTTGACCATACTTCGCCATGCTGGTTTGTGCGGGTTGGCGAAGGTTGTTGAAAGGTGTGGGGGGGGGGGGGCAGGACCTATTCAGATATCCCTCGTTAAAGATGTTTGCCGTGCGAAGTTCAGGTCACCAGGGTTCACAGCACAGCGCGTTAATCAGTGCGCCACCACTCCGCTCTGTAAGCTCTTAAGAGGATGTTAAATACTCAACACAGCTGACTTGCTCAATTGTATGAAGAGTAAAGACACTGCCTGTGGAGGATAAGAGGCCTAATTCAGAGGTGGCTAGCGGGCTTCCGAGTCTAATACCGCGTCTGTGCCTCGAGCCGACACTGCGGAGATGTTGGGTTGAATTGGGTTTGAGTCACTCATGGTTTAGACTGGGTTCTCAAGTATGTCGGGTTCATGGTCTCAGCCTGATCACCGATGATTACAAGCAGGCCCCGTCATATTAAATATAAGCTTGTCGCCTAATACAGCTTATTCCAACTCTGAGATTTAAAAAAAGCACATTTGATTGACCGGTGACGATCACAGTTTGCAAGACATGTAAAACATGTGCCCTTAGTGTGGATAAAGTGAGGAAATGTAGACGTCGATTTGTGAAGTCAACTCCTGGGGACTGGTTTCTTTCATGGATACCACTCACCACTTGACGTTAGCCATGGGCCGGGAATCGAACTCAGGTCACTGGGTTTATAAAGCATTGCGCAATTCACGTCGCTCACCTCCCCCCCCCCCTCCGGTAATAATCAGTGAAATAATCTGTAACGATTACACGTAATAATGCTTCCACAGATGCATGTCTTACACGCGCAAGCTTCAGCAAAAGAACGAGCAACGACACATTGACATGTCCTATGTACGTAAGGGGTTAATTTTTTTTATTTTTACGTAATTTTTTTTTTATATCAAGTCTCGCGAAGACGACGTACAGTATTAAACACGAAGCTTGGTGTATAGCTGTCATTCACCCTTCTGCATCACACGACCGTAAGGTTTCTAAATCCACCTTCAGCCCAACGCGCCTGCACGCACAGCGAGCCGTGATAGCGAACGGGGAAGGTCCCCACGTGGATTCTTGGAAGTGGGCAACGTCGAGCCGTCCTTTGGAAGGAGCCTCCTCTCTCTCTCCGGGCCGGATCAACGCAACAACAACGAGCCGGATTAATTATTCGAGGAAATACAAACCACCTCCGGCTCAACTTGAATCGCCGACGCAGATCATAATTGTGAATTAAGTAGATTCTGGGAATTTCGATTTAAAGCTTTCGTGACTGCAGGGATTCATCTTCGGTAAAGTCACGTAGAATGGAAATAATAAAATTATAAAAATAAAACATAAAATAATTCTCACGACGTTTCGGCCACAACGCAAGCAGCCGTCCTCAGGTGGAGAGCAGGTCTGTCGAGTAGACAGAGAATTATTTTATTATGTTTTATTTTTATTATTTTATTATTTCCATTCTACGTGACTTTACCGAAAGAACCAAGAAGATAGATTCTGGGAAGTATTTTTTATTTTTTTTACAAAATATCCAAATTAAAATCCAGTGTAACTGTTTAAGCATTATAGGCGTACACATTATATATATAAACTTTGGATCCAATTACAAAAATTACGGGGGAAAAGTTTTAATGGAATTTGGTAAATGATAGTTGGGAACTTTGCAGTAGGTGGGTTTTTCTGGTGCTTCTCTCCATACTGTCCGACGGAATACCAACATTGCATTGCTGTTACAAGGCAGCGGATACCTGATCATTGGCTGTAAAGGCTTCACCACCGTCCTGATTAACGCCGACTAATTCTACAGCTGAAAACAAATATGAGCGAACATTTATGGTAATAACCTTTCATCAGAGCAGAGTGGGAAGAAGAGACAATATTTTACTCTGCAAGTCTGACGCCTCCAAAATTCCAAATTCCAAGTCACGCGATCTTCCACCGATACCAATTCCCCGTGACGTTGGCCGATTTAAACTTGTACATTTAAGTAACGAAGCAATATTTGTCAATGAGGACATTTGGTACAAGTTCCCTTTTCAGCACGGGTTTCTGTGACACTGCAAGTGCAGTCCCTTATGTTCCTCTTCTAGCCGAATACCTCTGAACAAAATGACTCAATCGCCTAATACTTGAACGGGACGCATAGATTGGCTGAGCCAGTCTCGTGAATAAACGTCTCCAAATCGAACGGATTCCCGCCGGTCAGAATTAAGCCGCCAATTCGTTTTTTTTTCTTTCCCCGGGGCGATTCGGATTTCTTTTCGTTGTTATTGTCCCGCGTTTGGGGGCACCGCAGCGCCGATGAACGCGCGACGCACGCGGCTGCGTGACGCGGCTCGTGTGGCAGAAAGGCAAGGGGGGGGGGGGTAACACCAGAATGCACTTTGTATAAAACGTATCACGTAACGTTTGTAATGTCTGTATACACAATACACACATAGCAGCCACCTACAGCACTTATTTTCGTTTTACTCCCCCGCCCCGTACCGCCCCACCCACCCTTCAAATTTACATCCTTTAAATATCGTTATCGATTTACAGGAAAATAAAATAAAAACGCACATCAATCTACATGCACCGCCACCTGCATCTCCAGCAGAGCGCATGCGCCGAATACACGCGCCGACATTTAGTGCTGTCAAAGCGGCTCCGTTCCATCACAGGAGGATCATCCCCCCTTCCTTCATGGCCGTTATTCTTGCAGACGGTTTGCGATAATCATCAATTGATTACGTCAAGTATAACGTTGCCACTCCAGCAAATATACCGTGTAGAGGAATTCTGAAACAATACATGTACTTGTTTTTTTTACCCCTGTCGTCGTCTGTTAAATGTTCAGCCGAAATGTCTTTCCCAAGAGCGGCGTTCACACAAAGCGGGCATCTCGAGTGCTCAATTTGGAAACGATCCGCTTGTGTCAATTTTCACTTAATTTGGCAACAATGTCATTACGACTGACACGTAACTGACGTCTCCACAGCAGCACGGGTCGGGGGTTGCAGCGGCATCCTCTGGTGTCGACAAAGAGCTCCCTTGGAACCTCACAAGTAGTTCTGGATAATTGGTTCTTTACCCTTCTATCTGGCAACAAAACTGACACCTTTTTGCAAGGAGTCATGTTTGCATAGACCGCAATACCTGCAGTCATAAATACAAACAAAAGACATAACTCTGATAATGTGCACTGTCCTTGAAGTTGATTGGTCCACACCCGAGACAGCTTTCCTTCGAGCCTAGTCTCATATGGGTTGGACCAGATGACGCCAAAAGGCGCATTTTGGCGTCATCTGGTCCAACCCATATGAGACTAGGCTCGAAGGAAAGCTGTCTCGGGTGTGGACCAATCAACTTCAAGGACAGTGCACATTATCAGAGTTATGTCTTTTGTTTGTATTTATGACTGCAGGTATTGCGGTCTATGCAAACATGACTCCTTGCAAAAAGGTGTCAGTTTTGTTGCCAGATAGAAGGGTAAAGAACCAATTATCATATTTTTACTGGCAAATGAGGTCCCCATAGTGTAGTTCTGGATAATCACCTCCTATGGGTTATTCTCAAACACCGGTTGATGCATGGAGTGGTGCAAGAGTTCCTGACGAACATTTTTTTCTGCACGAGTGGAATACAATTGAGAGAAAACAGATCTTGCCGTGCCGGCCAACCCGGTCTTCTTTTGGGAAACATTTAACATAATTTACCTTTAACGTTTAATTTCATTTACATGTTACTATTTGTACACGCTTACGACGGGAGCAGAAACCCCTCGTGCCTTCTCTTTCATACGAGGGCTTATCGGCCGAATGTTGCATCTTATGAGAGTGCAATATCGCATTGCAGCGTTCCACGGAAGGGGAATAACAGGCGGATAAAAAAAACAAAAATAACAACTTGGGTTTTGGACCGCACTGTTTCCGGGCGGCGTCGGCGGGCGGATGGGGGGGGGGGCACTCCTGCCCCATGTTAGCGGAGCCACGTTGGCACGCGGCACGGCCCCACGTGACCGGCCTTCGTGCGGTGGCACGAGAAGAGACGCCACGTCCTCGAGATAAAAGAAAGCCGGGAGCCACGTGTCCCCACGCAGTGAAGCCTCCTCCTGCTCTTCCATCCACCCTCCACCCTCCCTCCAGCCTCCCTCTCTCATCCGCTTTGTTCTTAATTCATCCTCGTAGCAGAACTTAGCAAGTAACAGAATAGCAACAATTAAATATGAAATAAAATGAAGGTAAAGATGGCTTCGGTCTAAATAAAATAAAAAATCATTAATTGCCATGATGATAATAACAATACAACTGTTAGATATGAGGATAATGCAAAAAGGGAAATTTAATCAAACGATAGTAATAAAAGAGACGGTGGGAATTCTGCTTGAGATGAGCCAGGGGGACTTTGACGGGGTCCACGCCGGAGGCACGCACACTCCCCGTCGCCGTACACGCGCACGGGGCGGCGGGGGGACGGACACTCGGGATATTATGCTGCTGATGTTACGAAGAAAAAGGTTATAAACTTGTTACAATTCATTTACAAACCGCTGATGACATCACAGGGGTTTAAATGCCCGCGCGAGCAGCCGGATATTTCCCTCTTAAAACCCGCGACAGGTTCCTGGTGCGGCGCGAGAGGCGTTGTGCGACCGCGACACGAAGACAGCACAGGTCATCGCCGCCGCCGCCGCCGCTGCTGCAGAAACAGCAAATGGAAATTCAGCCAGGAGAGCCATCCGCCGCAAAACGATCGCCCTGGCACCGTTTTCTCGCCAACTACGCCCGAACGCACGCACGTGTGTCGAGTCGGACCAAGGATCATTATCATTATTATCATCATGATCGTTATCAGCTTCGTCTACCGTCAGATATGATCATTGGCAAGGATGCTCCGTTATAATTACCATTGTATCTGCATAATCGCTGCGGTTAATATCAGAGCTTGTCCCAGCTGCATTCGACGCAAACTCTGGCGAGTGCAAGCCGTGGACCACTGGGGGGTCGTGAGGCCCCACGTGATTTTTTTGGGCTGTATCTGCATGGCAGGATGACAACTCGTGACCTCGTGGTCCAATCGATTAATGTTGCCAACTCCTTAAAGTGGAAAGTTGCCGAAACGAACTTCTAAGAATCGCTAGATGTGCACCAGATAGACCTTCTAAAGTCGTCAAACATGTCGCCAGATAGTTGACCAAGTATTAAAACCGATTATCCTTAATACACACCTGGAATCACGTCAACAGGCAATTTACCAAGTATTCAACATAGTAAACTAATACCAGATCATATTCTTAGGTTTTTTCGGTAAAGTCACGTAGGTAAAAAAAAAAATTAAATTAAAAGACGGAATCTTGTGTTGCCTCTGAAATGTCGTGATTTTTATTTGATTTTTATTTTACTTTAATTTTTATTTTATTTTTTTTACCTACGTGACTTTACCGAAAAAACCTAAGAATATAAATCCTTGCAGTCACGAAAGCTTCAAATCTAGAATTAATACCAGATCCTTAATACAAGCATGGAATCGCTGTTGAAATCTGCGTTTTCGTCCCAGAAAGTCAACAGATTTGCCGCTTTGACGGAATTTTGTCGCTCCGGAAACTCCAAAGTTCGCTGGATCTGGCGACAAGATCGCCGAGTTTGGCAACACCGCGACTGACCGACCTGGCAGCTGCCGCGTTGGAAATAAAAAAACTGCGCACGCGTAACACAATTTCTCACTGCCGGCAGAAATATCCGAACACGCACAATGTTCAACCAGCCCTACAGCGTCCACTTGAAGACTTCTACATGAGCTTCAACATCTTCATACTACCATGCATTTAACATTCTCACAGTATCTTAATTACTTGTCGTTACGCGCTACTGTAAATATAAATATATTACAGATTGGACATCACTGAGTCACGTAACAGTGGTAACAGAGATGCATAACATGAAACACAAAAAACCGAACTGTTCATTTGTAAAAGGCTCTTTAAAAAAAACAGTATTTAAAAAATGTATATGACAACACAATTTGTTGAAAATCCCTGCTACCTTTTTATACAACGAGTAACACAAAGAAAAAAACTTCATTTGTTTTTTGCCCTGAATGAGTAGATCGTGTGTACAACTGGCAAACTTTTTTGTGTATAAATATCAGCTTTTTAGTGTCAAAAAAAGCCCTTGCATACCTTAACACATTTCATCATGGCAAAAATGAATTATACAATTACCTGAGGTAACAGCTGTTTGTCTGAGGCCGACGCATAACCCACCAGTGATTTCTCTGGACTCTCCTTAAAAATTTCAAGGGAAAAGTCGAATATCTGCAATTAGCCCACGAGACCCACCCTACACATCTGCAATAAGCCACAGCACAAGGCCGATCTGTCGAGGGAAAAACTGGAATTCAAGTCGCGGGGTTTTATAATTCCGTTAACTGATGTTTGAAAGCTAACGCGCCACGCTCCTTGTCGCGAATTCTATATCGGCCACGTCGGATTTGGGTATTGGCGTGTTTTTGTAACGCCGGTAAAAGTAAAATCACCATGGTGCACAATTGAAAAAAGAGTCACGAATTAACCAAGTGTAAGGCATCTAAAAAATTTTGTCAGCAATTTATGTGTTCATCAAAAAAAATATTCAAGTACATATGGCATCAATAATTCTTCAAGGGTAGCGATTAATAACTCAATTGGTGCCGCGGGGTCGATCCGCTGACAGTAGCTCTCAATTTAAGCGGCAAATCTGCAAGGGAAGGGCTCGCTCAGCCCCCACCTTCGGCTCTCTGAAGACCGACATCGTCGTCAGCCTGACATAGCGGATCACGAAGCTGCAGGACACAACCCCAGCAGCGCTCTTTGCAGCGGAGAGTCAAGAGGAACCACTGGGAGAAGGTCGAGGGCCCACTCGGGTCTCCTTTCCAAGTCCCAAATTGTCCTGGAAGTCCGTGCGAGTTTTTGCTCAAGCCCCCTTTAAGAGTTTAACGGGAGCATTATTCCGAATAAGCCATTCCCCAGCTAATGCAGTTAAAGCATTAAGTGCTCTACAGTTTATTTGGCCTATGTATAAAAAAAAGAACTAGGCTGCATTGGTATTTTTTTATTTTATATATTTTTTAGGCGCGTTGGCAAATTGCCGTTTGGTTGGAGGTCAGTCCGCTGTACAATCATCGGGCTGTGGTGACTACTGCAGTCGGCTGCCACCTGGGCACCGGGCGTGGTGGCGCCCCGTTCGACCAGGAGCTGTCGCCAACGATGTCCCCGCAGCTGCCTGAGCTTGGGCTCCTGCCCCCGGAGCGGGGAGAGCGGCGGTGAATGGGCACTCCAAAGGCATGACGTGACGGACGGGCATAAAAACGTGGCATGGACTTCCAAGAAACGCGAAGCGGCGCTTTGCGGGCGCGCGCTGGCTGGCACGGAAGCCGGAGCCATCGTCGCCGCAGCCACCGTGTAGTCTGTGACGGGAGTCCGTACGAGGTTCGGATGTAGAAATACAAAAAAAAACCATCACGAGATATATATATATAAAAAAACACATTCTGTCCAGAAATGTTCATCGTACAAAAAAAGGCTCCAAACTCTCCAGCAAACGCTGCACATGTGTTTGTTTTTTTTCGTTCGTAACCAGAGGAATATTATTTATCCCTCATCCCCTCCTGCACCCATCCCGCAGCTCTCATTTAAATACTATACAGTGCAGCTCCAATGAAAAATGACCGATAAAAACACTTCGTCAAGCAATCTAAAATAGTAAAAACTGCATTGTTGTACAAAACATGGCAGGAAAATGTCACAGTTACAAATGTTGCGTGTTGTAATTACCCAAACCTGCCGGCCGGGCGCTGCGTGTATGTTTTCGTTTCTAAACTTGGCGTTCGCTTTTACGCTGCACATTTTCTTCTTTTCAGACTGTTGCCTCAACTTCCCGCTCCACAAAAATAAGTGCTATGAAGTTTCCCCTCCCAACACCCCTCCCCTGTCTCCCCCAGGGGGTCCCAATATATTCCCTGGGAAACCCACCCACCCACCCCTGCCCCCCCCCCCGTAAACCCCACGTCGCCCCTCATTCTGTGTGGACCCTGAGACTCGGTCCAGTGGGTGAAGAAGCCCCCTCGTGCCTCTGGCACTCGAGAGGTCGCCAGCCCAGCAGCCTCGGGCCGGCCAAGGCGACCACCGAGTCCGTAGGTACGACCCTCGCTCGGTTTGCAAGTCCTGCCCACGGGTATGGTTGCCACCCGTCCAGGTTTTCCCAGGGACTCCTCTTTTCGAGGCAGCTGTCCCGGGAAACTTGCAAGTCTTTCAAGAAGCATGATCGACCACCAAAATCATGAAACATTTTTTACCGGTAGTCCATCCCCTCTTCCGGCATTATGAGACATGTTTCTTCCTGCCACGGTTACATCTTGGTGTCTGTATACCCCCGTGGGTGGCAACCGTATGCCGATGATGGAAATCTCGTGATTACGCCACAGCACCTTGTGGGAATTTACAGGACATGAGGGTTATTTAATTACAGCTGTCTGCAAAAAAAATGCAAATGAAAAAAAGTATCTGCACAACAATGTATCTGTTTTTTTTTTCATAGAAATGTACTGCTTTTTAAAATTCCTAAGCGGACACCGCTGTAGATTTTTCCGAATCTGTGCCACATGCATTATTAGCACCTCATGTGTGGCAGGGGGGAATATAAAAAAAAAATCTGGTTTAACAAGTTTTCGTTTCTCGTTCAGGCGAGTCAAGACGTTCCAATAAAGGGACTTAGTTCATTCTGCTTAAGAGGCCCATTGAGGGAAGGATTTAGTGATGGAGATCCGCTTCTATATCTCACCTTAAGAGTGTTTTTTGTACCGTTACACCAAAGCATTGGGCAGCCCCTTCTGAAACGATCATCAAGAACCATATAAATTGGCGGTTTGTAAAATAATTATCGACTGCTGCGTCAAAGCGAAGATCAGGTGTCGCTGAGCAGCCGACATTATTTGGAAAATTTACAGCTCATTAAAAACACGGGGCAAGACTGCGGATACTTGAACACAGGCACGTGTGCTGTGACATTTTACGGGGGAAAGCATGCGTGGAATAAACCAGGAATGAAAAGACCTGCAGAAGATGGTGTCACGAGGACCCGTCAAGGAGGCAAAACACCAATTTAGCACGTTTGGACCCAACTTTCAAAGCTGTCGTTCTTTTTTTTCCAGCAGCAACTAAACTCTGTCGAAACATTTCCATTTTGTTCTGCATCATTCCGTTCGTTTAAATTTTCGAAGGCACTTTGAGGCAAACGTTGAAATTAAGAGCGACAAAATACGAAAAAATGCAGTCACCAAAAAAGTGATTAGCCCGCCACCGAGCCGTGGCACCGGCAGTCAGGAAGCCGATCGTGGTTACCCAGAATGACGGGCGGTTTCCACCAACCGTTTTACAAACACGGAGCTGATTGGCGCATTTGGTTGACTCGAGGACACGAGAGGGACACGAGAGGGCTCGTTCGGTGAAACATCAGAATGTTGTTATTTTTAAGTCAACGAAAAGACAGAACTGTGTGTGGTAATGAGGTAGTCGTGTTGTCTTCTCAGTAATCTAGAAACGAAACATTAACAAAAAGCACCTATATTCTGCCGTTTCGTGACCTAAGATTGGAGCACCATTCCAGTCTTTCTTTTTTTATGCAGCGGAATACAAAATAATGAATAAAAAAACGTTAGAAATTACACCGTTTCATCCTCAGTTGATTTGTTTGTCATTAAACCGACAGCAACAAAACAAAAATGGAAACCGGGAGACCTTGCACTAGAATGCAGTGTGAGAGGCTTCAAACTGACGACACTTGAGTCCGTGTAGGTTTCAGTCGAGAAACCGCAGCATAGATTGCGTTTTCCTTTTCACAGTTCGGTACTCTTCATACAAAAGTTCCCAGACTGCTCGCACTCGCAGAGTGTACGTGTTACTCAAGAATCACAAACCTGAGATCCTTTTCATTCGTGTTTAAAAAATGCGGATGTTTGTTTAACTTTCTTTAACTTTTCTGCTTTTTCATTTTCTCTCGCTCTCCTTTTGGCGGAAACGTCCAAACATCCCTTTGCAAGATCCTGTTTCCAGGACGCTCTCGTTTGTGTTTTTTTTTGCAACAACGTCAGCGTTCACGGCCGCGGCGTGGGTCACGGCTGCCCGGCCGGCGAGGTAGAAGAGGCGCGATGGGGCGACTGACAAGGGGCAGCGGGGTCTTCCACGTCTTTGTTTACGTCGTCCGGCTCCTCGGCCCCGTCGCACGGCGCACCCCTGAGATGGGACTGCTGCTGCTGCTGTTGCGACGGCGCCGGCTCCTCGGGCGAGTCGGCGAGGCCCTTGTTCGACGACGCGGGCGACTTGGCGGCCGGCTCGGCGTCCGTCGCCGGGCCGCCCTCGTCCGCCGCCGCGAAGGAGCCCGAGTCCGACTGATTGGTCTGACCCTGCGGCGACAACGTACGCGCGTCAACAAAATCCACCGTCTTGCCCGAATGCAAAAACCGGCGGTCGAATGCAAAGCCTCGTTAGCCGGGCAGGGGACGGTTGCTCAGAGCACCCACCCCGTTGGAGAGGACCTCCCCGTCCGTAGAGGAGTCCAGGCTAAGGTCGGTGAGCGCCGTGCTGTTGGGACTCAAGAAGACGTCGCACGTCGCCGTTTCGTCTGCGAAGCTCGTGACGCAGGTGGCCGCATGGTTGGTGCTGCCGTTCCCCACCTGCGCGCCGCCAGGCCAGGGACACGGGGGAAGCCGTTCAGCATCGCGCCGCGGCGCACCGCTGGGTTGTCGCTCTGGGAGAGAACACCGGTCGCGACGAGGTGGTGGCTGCCTGACAACGCTGCTCTGCGCGCGTTACTGCCGGCCTTCGGGCAAATGGCGGGGCTGAAGGCAGCACAGTCTTCCGGGAAGCGGAAGGAATTACTTTTTGAACATATGTCGAACTTCTTTCGCACAGTACGTAGCCGATCGCTCTAATCGTAGGTAGTTTTTGAACACTTATGTTAAAACGACAAAAAAATGCTCTCATAACAAATAAAAATAAAACTGCACATTGGCCAATAGCGTCCATTCAAATAGGGATCGTGGAGCAGTTTTGTCCGTCCGAGTCTCATGATAAGAACCAAATAGTTGAAACACTAGAGCAAAATAATTACATCAGCTTGGCTACTAGGATATAAAATATTACACTCTTTATGCGAAGTGATGAAAAGAAGTCTGGAATTTTTTTTTTTCATTGCCAGTGATTTTTCCAAGATGAATAAAACACAAACTGGCACAGCATTGTGCAATGTGTGAAATGTTACACAACAGCGTAAACATTTCCTTTCAACCCATGACAGGGTTAGGGAAGGAGGGGTTGGAGGAACGAAACTCGAGTCAGCAATCATTCCTGTGTTGCACGAAGGAATGATTAAATGAACAGGGTCCTGTCTTCGACGTACGCGCTCGTTATTAGTCTCACAAAAACACGAGCTGATGCTGCATTATCTTGTTATTTGATTCATTACGTCGCGGTCCAGATTGATGGGCCAAAGCGATGACGGAACTCCCATCCTTCTTGATTTCACCAGGCAAGGCAAATTAAAAGCTGCCGTGCACTAACAGCTCATCTAATTACCCCTAGCGGAGCTCGGCAGACACAAGCCGGCGGTGGTGGCCAGCTGGCGAGACCACGGGTCAGCAGTTTCTCGGAGCGAGCACTTCCAATTTCCACGCCTCTCGTGTGATCCATCCATCAAACGCAACTTCTCACTTCGTCGCGTCGTGCCGGCCATCGTCGCGTCGCCGCTAAGCGAAGCTCGCCAGGGGAGAGCGAGCGAGCACGCGAGGCGGGCCGTCGCGCCCGTCCGTACCTTGTTGCGCGCGGACACGGCCGTGCCGTTGGGCACCAGCTGCTGGCGCTCGGGATCCCGGGCCGAGGGCGACGGCGAGTACGACGACACCGTCGTGGCGGCGGCGTCGGTGACGTCGCGGCCCGGGCGCGCCGTGCCGTCCGGCCCCGCCGCCTCCTGGCAGCACATGAGCGTCTCCAGCTCGTGCGAGTCCAGGGGGCGGCCGTTCCTCATCTGGGGCCCGTTTCCCGACGCCGAGGCCGTCGGGTCGCCCGGCGCGCCGGGGAGGCAGCAGTCGCCGGGACGGGAGGCGCGCCTGCTCGGCGGTTGCGGTGGGGGACAGGGAGGGAGCGGACAGGCGAGGGCGTCACGGGGGGGCGACGGACGGCGGCGGGCGGGGCGCGCCGAGCGTCGGAAGCGCGCCGGGTGGCGGGCGGTTGAGTGCGAACGAGGTGCGGCGAGTACCCGTGTTTGGATCGGCACAGGAGGACGGCGACGCACAGGGAGACGCAGGCGAAGGCGATGCACACGCCGACCAGCATGCCCGTCAGGGAGTGCACGTTAAGGAGCAACGGCAGGCCTGCTGGGGGTGGGGAGGGGTGGGCGCAAGGCGGGGATCAGAGGAAGGGGGGGGGGGGGGCACAGTAAGAACGTGAGTGCAGATATAGGGGTGGGGGTTCAGGAGAGTTGGATGAGTTCCAGAGTACGCTGCTGTTGCTGCTGCCGGGTTTGTCTGTGTCCGGCGACTCCGTCACGAATAACGAAGCTTATTGCAGTGTCCGCCGCGAAGGCGATTAACGGATTATCGCAACTATAACGGTAATAATAAGACACGATGCGCGTACTTGTCTGTGGCTCGACGAGGGTGTGAACGGACAGCGCGGTGGAGAAGGGGCCCGGGCCCACCGGCGTCTTGGCTCCCACGCTGAAGAAGTAGAGGGTCCCGCTCTCCAGACCCACGATGTCGGCGCTCAGCGCGTCGCCTGGCGCGAGGAGTTAGCGCGATCGATGCGGGGGAGTCAGAGAGACGACGAAACGTTCCGCTCACGAAGCAAAGCGTGCCGTGAAACAACTTTAGCCTTTGTTGTAATTGTCTATCGGAGGAGTGCAACGACGCATTGATTTATCGAGAGTCTTACTGTCAGGGTGCATGCATGGAATTGTGTGTGTGTGCGTGCATATGAATTGAGTATTAACAGTTTACGAGACAAAAAACCGCAACATATATGAGACGGCAATAACAATCTGAGAAATAATCTATCCTTGAATCGGACATCAACTCTGAACCGTGACACCTCGTTGCAATTATTGGGGGGTAAAAAAGAGATTGAATCTGTGTGTGCTTTGAGCGTTGTTACCCCCTAAAATACACGGTGGGTTTTCTCTGGGTTCTCTGCTTTCCTCGCACATCAAGCCAAACATTCGTGTACATAATTGGCCAAATATCCCATTGCAGCACGACAAAAAAAAGTAAAAGATTTGAGAGCAATTGTTTATTATAATTCCAATTCTGAGAGCTTTTACACAACTGAAACGACAGTGTCCAGCTCAGCCCGTGGTCGACCATTGTCATCGTGAGCGGTGGCAGTGGCGGCAGTTCTCACCGGCACGGCGGATGGCGGTCCACATCTCGCGCGGGAGCGATGCGTTGGAGCTGTAGATGAGGACGTACTCGGACACGGGCCCGTTGGGCTCCAGCGGGGGCTCCCAGGCCACGCGCACCGACCGCATGTCCACGGCGCTCAGTGTCACGTCCATGGGCGGCGTGCCGGGCCCTGCGTGGCACGGAACGGCAAAACGCGTGGCATCGCTCTCACGTTCCCTCCTCCTTCCGCTCACGCTCTCTCCAAGACGGACAACCAACACGTGCTTGCTTACTCTGAGTCGTTGCTGCGCTATGAACCCGGCAACCTGGGTTCGATTCCGGCCCACGGCCTGCACTGGTGACGATTATCTGAACCGGTTCTGAGCCTCCTCGAAGTTGACTCGGCCTCAAATGAGTACTTGGTGCGGTGTGTAAAACATCACCACTGGGGAGACAAAGGCGGCCTAGCGTGGTGTTGTCCACCCATCCCTTCGTGTGCGGTGTTGGCCTTCACAGGTGCTGCTCGATAATAGCACTTGCCCCAACAGTCTGTTTTGACTATGCGGGGGGATCTTTGTATGAATGTTATTGTTGTTCGGAGGAGGGTGTGTGACACACATTGGTGTTTTACTCAGGCTATTTGACCCAAAGATCTATCTTATCTTAAAAAACTAAAATAATAAAAGGTACAGAAGCAAACAAGTGCGAGCTACTGCGTGGGAGTTTGCGGTTGTGCCGTACAGCTCCCCGATCTATATTCGAGTTACGATGTCTGATGTTTCACTCCACGTGCAGGCAGCTTCTTCACGAATAAATGAAGCATGGTGCCTCTTGCTACCGATTGCCAGTGTGGGCGAGACGTCGCCAGGGGTTCTGCTGGTGACCGTGCCGATTGTAGATTCGCTGTAGGGTTTGTTTTTTTCGTAGATATTTTATATGACGGCATCGTCAGCCTCCTCTTGATTTTCTGCTGCTGGCTGCTATGTGCTGATGGGTGTGAGGTCACGTGACTATTCACATGATGACAGCGCAGCTGCTGGCAGTAGCGAATGAGGAATTGCCATTTGAACCAAATCTGCACCTTTTAATAAGAGACAACGGCACGATCCAACACCACAGCGTGAAATTCGGACAGGCAGTGTGAGAAAGAGAAAGCTCAGCACGCTTCTCCCCTTTAATTATGTCGTCCAATTACCTTTTGGACAGCTACAAAGATAACTGTTAATTAACGCTGAAATTTCCAAAATGCTTATAGAAATAATTCACAGCCCTTTTGTTATGCCACCGCTGCTGAAAGGCCTCCCCACACACAATGTCAGTCATTGGGTTGTTTGACCATACTTCACCACACTTGACAGTACAGTTTGGTAGAGGCTGAGAGGGGCACAGGGGTGCAGAACCAGTTCGGAATTGAGGTGCCATTCATGTGATCCGCTAGCCATATATGGCGCAGCTCGCTAACAACTATGCCAACGCTCTGTCCGTTGGTATAGTATGAGGTGGGAGTACCCACATATTACCCCTGCCTGACGGGGGTGACTTGCGGTGCACCCATTTATACTGCTGGGCGGACCGAGGCAGGAGGATTCAAGAAACCTGCACCGTAGTCTCAACTGCCGTGCCGGTAGATTAGACCGGCGTCCTCTGGGTGGCATGTCCAGTGGTGCGAACCATGACACCTTTTGCAAGAATGAATAATGAACCGTTACAAACAACTTTCATTTCAACTCGGAGGCAGCAAGTCCGTTTTCTTGGCAGGGCGTCTGCGGTGTTCGCCCACGTGGGATTGCAACGCCGACGGATCCTCTGGCCGTCGGTGAGCCCGCACCGTTGAGACGCGTGATAAGATCAGGGGGGACACTGAAACATTAGCGCAGCTACGCACACACGCCCATAAACTCGTGGCATTTCATGAAAGCCATTTCCCAGAGCTTGACACAAATTATTGCCTTCTCGCCGACGCGAAGGGGGTCCATGGACAGGGGTGTAATTGGCGAAAGGCTCAGCATAAAAAGGCGGCATTACCGCATCCCGTATGATAAAAAAAAACGCACTTAAAAAATGTGAATAATTTAAAGCTTTAACCTTTTACGAGGAAATGTCTTATGTTGCGTGGGCCCTGATTTTAATCAAGTCGAGTAACAACAAAACATAATGAATGTTTCAGATAAAAGAGGCTGAGGTGTGAATATTTCTGGATTCTATTGCTTGTCTTCTAAACATTTTCCTATTATGCGGTCGATATATTCCTCCTTTAATACTTTTGTCATGCACGCGTACAAGAGAGGGGGCTGGGGAGGGTGAGGAGAGAGCGAGGCTGAGAGGGAGTAGGGACTTTGGCATGAAGGAGAGAGGGAAGGCGTCACGCAGAGAGGGAGCAACAGAGAGGGGACAGCAACTGAGTAGGGAAGAAAAATGGGTGGATGGGAAAGAAAAAAGGGAACGAGGGAGACAAGGAATGGCGCAGGCGGGAGAGAGGGCCGAAAGGAGGGAGGGAGATGGCGTACGGTCGGGCGGCGTCGCCTCCTCCACGGTGTCCCCGAAGCGCCCGTTGGAGTTGCGGCCGTGCGACTGCACCGAGAACTGGTACCGCGTGAAGGGCTTGAGGCCTTGCACGAGCAGCCCTTCCTCCGCACTGCTCGCGGCGCACGCGGGAGAGAAAACGCGGCGCGTGAACGCACGCCAAGCAGCAACGACACGTGCACGCAATCCAGCGCGCGTGCAAATCCGCGCTGGCGCACGCGTGCGCCGACTCACCAGGGGATGTAGCTGAAGGCCGAGGCGTTGGTGGGGGCGGGCGAGGGGGCGTAGCGCACCGTGTAGCCCACGATCTCCACGTTGCTGAACGCCGGCTTGCGCCACCAGAGCCGCACGGCGCTCGAGCCGTTGCCCTGGGCGAGCAGGTGCGTGGGCGGCATCGGCGACGAGGGCAGCTCGGGCAGCTCGGGCAGCACGCCTTCCGGAGGGTGACGCACGAGGAAGAGGCGGCGGGGAGGAGGCAGGCGGTAAGGAGGCGGCGCAGGAGGTAAGGGAGGGTGACGTGCGGGAGGAGAGGGACGAGACTTGCATCGGGGCCACGATGCTCGGACGGGGAGCTTGCCCGAAGCAAAAATAGTCGAGCGGACAAGCTTTGCTTTTGGTTGACAATGTTTAAACCCCGAGGAATGTATGAATGTTGAACTTCTTTCTCGCCGTACGCGGCCAACCTCCGATTCGGAGGTGCGGGAAACTCCCGATTCGGAGGTGCGGGAAACTCCCGATTCGGAGGTGCGGGAAACTCCCGATTCGGAGGTGCGGGAAACTCCCGATTCGGAGGTGCGGGAAACTCCCGATTCGGAGGTGCGGGAAACTCCCGAATCGGAGGTGCAGGAAACTCCCGATTCGGAGGTGCGGGAAACTCCCGAATCGGAGGTGCGGGAAACTCCCGATTCGGAGGTGCAGGAAACTCCCGATTCGGAGGTGCGGGAAACTCCCGAATCGGAGGTGCGGGAAACTCCCGAATCGGAGATGCGGGAAACTCCCGATTCGGAGGTGCAGGAAACTCCCGATTCGGAGGTGCGGGAAACTCCCGAATCGGAGGTGCGGGAAACTCCCGATTCGGAGGTGCGGGAAACTCCCGAATCGGAGGTGCGGGAAACTCCCGATTCGGAGGTGCAGGAAACTCCCGATTCGGAGGTGCGGGAAACTCCCGAATCGGAGGTGCGGGAAACTCCCGATTCGGAGGTGCAGGAAACTCCCGAATCGGAGGTGCAGGAAACTCCCGAATCGGAGGTGCGGGAAACTCCCGAATCGGAGGTGCGGGAAACTCCCGAATCGGAGGTGCGGGAAACTCCCGATTCGGAGGTGCAGGAAACTCCCGATTCGGAGGTGCAGGAAACTCCCGAATCGGAGGTGCAGGAAACTCCCGATTCGGAGGTGCGGGAAACTCCCGAATCGGAGGTGCGGGAAACTCCCGAATCGGAGGTGCGGGAAACTCCCGATTCGGAGGTGCAGGAAACTCCCGATTCGGAGGTGCGGGAAACTCCCGAATCGGAGGTGCGGGAAACTCCCGATTCGGAGGTGCAGGAAACTCCCGAATCGGAGGTGCAGGAAACTCCCGAATCGGAGGTGCGGGAAACTCCCGATTCGGAGGTGCGGGAAACTCCCGAATCGGAGGTGCGGGAAACTCCCGATTCGGAGGTGCAGGAAACTCCCGAATCGGAGGTGCGGGAAACTCCCGAATCGGAGGTGCGGGAAACTCCCGATTCGGAGGTGCAGGAAACTCCCGAATCGGAGGTGCGGGAAACTCCCGAATCGGAGGTGCGGGAAACTCCCGATTCGGAGGTGCGGGAAACTCCCGATTCGGAGGTGCGGGAAACTCCCGATTCGGAGGTGCAGGAAACTCCCGATTCGGAGGTGCGGGAAACTCCCGATTCGGAGGTGCGGGAAACTCCCGAATCGGAGGTGCGGGAAACTCCCGAATCGGAGGTGCGGGAAACTCCCGATTCGGAGGTGCAGGAAACTCCCGAATCGGAGGTGCAGGAAACTCCCGAATCGGAGGTGCGGGAAACTCCCGATTCGGAGGTGCGGGAAACTCCCGATTCGGAGGTGCGGGAAACTCCCGATTCGGAGGTGCAGGAAACTCCCGATTCGGAGGTGCGGGAAACTCCCGATTCGGAGGTGCGGGAAACTCCCGAATCGGAGGTGCGGGAAACTCCCGAATCGGAGGTGCGGGAAACTCCCGATTCGGAGGTGCGGGAAACTCCCGAATCGGAGGTGCCAGAGCCCCAGCAGCATCCGTAGCAATGGCGGATACTAATTTACGCAATCATAACACCGCACTGCTCACAGAATAAAAGCCACATTAAATTACTAAATAACTCAAACAAGAACGCTTGTGCATGCTGTATTACGAGTGTCTGCGAAAAACCGACGTGCCCCATGACTGAAACACTTCACAAACACCTGACAAATGTGTCCGCAGATGTTTGCTCATCATGGGAACGGAGCGTTTGTGGCTTGCTGCATTGTAAATATCAACAGGTGGCTTATACCGTGCGTGTGCAGCGCATGAAGGACATTTGTTGTCCAGCAGTCATTGTATGGATTTTATGAATGACAATGGGCCCATTTCATTGAGACCTCAAACCACGATCATGATCGTAATCGATTTGGGAAATCATCATCATCATCGCCTCTCATTCCGTATGTCCGTGGGATTAGTTGAATGTGCCTTTTGTCACACCTGTAGCGCACATCAGTGGTCTGCACTTACGCAGTACCTTGGGTTCTCAAAAAAACGATTCAGGCACAAGGTTATTTGTGTGTGTAAAGGACGATCGTTTCTGCTTCCGAGGAGTGTGGTGCTCGCTCAGTAGCTGTTTAGTCAAGTCAAGGTCGCCTGCCACCAGCCACCGATGCTGCTCCTCCGATTGTACTCTTCCACTCACAATGGTAAGTAAAAAAAAAAGCAAATTAAGGCCACACTCAGATGTGATAGCTAAATGCATTCAAGCACCAATTGTTATTTGCTGATTCCCTAACCGAATGCGCAGGAGCAACGCGCACTTTTGCTGCGCCTGCAGGCATTAAGCTCGCGCCGCAGGAAATAAAGCAGTTAACACGTGTGTTGTTGAATAAAGGAAAGCCGGGAATTGGCATTGTTCTGTTGTGGACGGCGAGTGCGAACGCCACAGACACAGGAGATGACGAGGGTTCGGTGAGTAAAATCTCAAACACAAGATTCGCGCGATGTCACGCCACGCGTGAAGAGTGATTTGCCACTCGTCGGTCATCCAATATGTTTGCATTTCGCGGTGAATAACATCGTGACGACTGCTCGTACCGCTTATGCAAATGGAACTTGGGGACGTGCCGTTGCTGAGGCTTTAAGCCCAGAACCCTTTGGATATGTTTTACTCCCAGATATTGAGATCTATGTGGTCCATCAACGTCATATATATCTATCAGCTTTTAGGACTGAGATAGGCTTACGGAAGTGAAAATCAAAATATATTATGAACACCACAACTGGTGACCGGGCTAGGAGCATGAAACCCAGGATCTCAGTGCTGGTGGCTCAGTGTCTCAGACACTGCCATTATGAGCCCTCGGAAAGGGAGAGACACTCAGCACCTGGGAGCATAACCCCAGGATCACTCCGGAGCTGACTCAGCTTTCCCGGCACGCCCGTGTAATGAATCCCCGCGAGCCGCCCGTATCGCGCGATCACCGTCTCTCTACCGGGGTCGCTGGCAGGGGGGCGGCTGGGCGGGTCGGGCGTGCGGCCCCTCCATGTCACCACGTGGGCATTGTCGTGTTTGGCGTGTACCACGAGTCGCACCTCGTACAGCACGCCGGGCTCTGCGATGCACACGCACGCAGCACATGCGCAGCACACACAGCACACACACGCAGCACACGCACGCAGCACATGCGCAGCACACACACGCAGCACACACACAGAGCACACACGCAGTACACGCACGCAGCACACACGCAGCACACACACGGAGCACACGCACGCAGCACATGCGCAGCACACACACGCAGCACACACACGCAGCACACACACGCAGCACACGCACGCAGCACATGCGCAGCAAACACACGGAGCACACACACAGAGCACACACGCAGCACACGGACAGCATGTAGAGCACATAGGCAACAAATACAAAGATCCCCCGTGTAGCCTTAACAGACTGTAGGGGCAAGTGCTGTTAGCGAGCACCTATGAAGGCCGGCATGGCACACGAGGGGGTGAGTGCCTAACACCACGCCCGACCGCTTTTGTCTCCCCAGTGGCGATGCTTCCACATCGCACACCAAGTTCTCATTTGTGGCTGAGTCGACCTAGGGGAGGCCCAGGACCGGTTCAGATAATCGTCACTGGTGTTTGCCATGAGCGGGAATCGAACCCGGGTCGCCAGGTTTGTAGCGCAGAGCGCTAACCGCTACACCGCTACACCACCGCTGCCCACTACACACACACGCATGCACACACGCGCACACACACGCATGCACACACGCGCACACACACGCATGCACACACGCGCACACACACGCATGCCAGGCCACAACACACCTGCCAGGAAGGGAAGCGTGTCTGCCTTTAAGAACCCACGCGGGCAGCGATCGTGACGCAGACAAATCCATGTCGCTCGATAAAGAGCAAAGGCCGTGGCAATAATAATAGTAATGGGCTGTGATAATAATAGGCCGTGAAGCACTGTGGTAATTTTAAGGAAATCACTGCCTTTAGCCATCAGGGATAATGGTTGCCGCACCGTTTCCTTTTGTAAAACATTTATTTGCCCAAATATGGTCAAATCGTATCACTGTTCCACGCGAGTGGGCAACTGGGATGGCAACTTCCAAATACATTCCAGCGAGGGGTAACATGTCTACTCAAGACCTGCGCACCCCATTCACCAAACCTTTTGTTAATTTCGTTGTCGAGACGGAACTCCGTCATCCTGTGCCATCACCGCTCAACCAAGTTGCCAAAGTTGCTCAAACGCTATTTGAAAGAGATTTTGATGGTGGTCCTCCAGTCTCGACCGACCGAACCGACCAACGACCGTCCGTCCGCGATGATCCACTCACTCAGGCCCGAGATCGTGTAGTGAGTCGCTCTCCTGCGCAGCGAGATGGGGCCAATGAGCCAGTCCGTGCCATCAATCGGCGGCTCATCGCCTGGGTCCTCCAGCTCATCCGCCAGCTCCTGGGCTGCTGGCGCTTGTCGGCAGTACAGCTGGTACCCGCGGATTTGGAAGTGGTTGGCGGGCGAATGCCAGAAGATCTGCAGAGCCGTCCTGTTGGACTCCACGGTGAGCTGCAGGACGGGTGGTTGTGCTGCGAAATGGTAAACACATTGGACGAACACGTTCTCAAAACGCTCGTGTGCGCGCTGAGTGTATGTAATCTCACAAATGTGATTGTGCTGGGATCTCTCTCCCTTTCCCCCCCCCTCCACCCCGTGTTCGAATTAAAAAGCAAAGGTAAAGGTGCAGACCTGTAATTGCTCACAAAACTGTTGGCAGAAGGGCCTCCAATAGAGAGAGCTCTAGAGAGGGGGTTTTGACCTACTCTGTCATGCACATGCTGGAAGAGGTGGGAGGACCCACACTTTAACACACCACACGCAAACTACCCATCGACTAACTGTTAGGAACTAAAGGCATTAAAAACAATAGAGATAGCAAGCAAAGCCGTGACCATTGCTGGTCTCTCATAATTAAAGGTGAAGAAGTCATTACAGTCAACGCCGCTGAAGCCACCTCACCTTAGCTTGTTTACCAATGCCCGCCGAGGTCCGCTTAAATGATTCCATCATCTGGCTTCAGGTCGTGTACAAAATACTTTTGTTTTCGATGTAAAGAGACGGGTAAGCGAAAGATATGTATTGTCTGCGTATCATGTTACTTACTAATATTCTCCACAAACGTGCCAACCATTGTTTTGTGTACCGTGTGAAATATTTCGGCGTCGAACCACGACCCACATCTTAAAGAGAGGTGCCTTGCCTCTAGCATCAGGTAATTCACCAGCATCAATTCAAGCAAGCCCGTCAAAACCGGTCCAGCGTTTGATTGTATTTGCATCAATGCCGCTGCAGTTAAGCACTCCCAGAAGGCCGTGGGCCGATGGGTTGTGTAAAAGCAACGTGGAGGGACAGATTTACGAAGAAGAAATTGTCTGCCCAAGTAAGGATGGCCAATGTTGGTCCAACGGTTCCAAACACACGCCGACCCAACGCGGCACGCTTACTGCGCGCTGAACCTACGTGCTTCTCGTAGGTCTTATCGAGAAGTCCAAATCGTGCCTGCAAACGCTTGTCTCGCGGCAGCAGCGCGTTGACGGTGGGATTGCGCGCGCGTGTGCACGGCCGCGTCGTCGCCATGATGACCCGCGCCGGCGTCTCGCTCACCGGTGCGGTTGCTGTGCGGCGTGGTGCGGTGCAGCGTCCACGGCGATGGCTCGCCGGACCCCGAGCCGGTGGCGGCCGAGATGCGCACGCGGTAGGCGCGGCTCGGCTGCAGGCCGCTCAGCGTCACCTGGGTCTCCCCGCCCGGCACCTCCACCGCGTGCACCGTGTCTGTCGGCAAACACCCCACAGGGCACGTCACTTCGGATAGCACCGCCCAACCCCCCGTCCCCGAACCACCCCTGCCTCCTTGCACCCGTGCCGCCCTCGTTCAGTTCGAGGAAATGTAACGATTCGTAGATATGGAAAGTAAGTCCTCGATTAAGTGTCCCGTTGAGTGAAAAACGAGTTAAGCAAAAAACAATTTTCGCCATAAATGATTTAACGATAAATTTGGCTAGATACGATGTACTACGCAGACAGAGTGAGATGGCCGGACAAATAGCCGAGGTTACGCCGCAGCGTTACTGTGTTGTTCCTCGTACTGAATCGTACCGCTCAGCCGCGCGGCTCCGGAAAGCTGTTCACCGTTGGACGCTCAGAAACTGTAACAGTGTTATAACGGTGCGCGTTCCGCATTGTGCGGAAAGTGTTCCCCCATGGAAGAACCACGTAATAGCGAAAACGCGTTGTGTGATCACGCGTTAAGCGAGGACTTGCCGTACGAAGAAATGTTACAATCAAAAAGAGTCAACGATTAAAATCAATTAATGATTACGTCTCCTACTGTGTACCAAGAGTGGGTTAGGAAGCGTAATGATTCCTCGACCGATTAAACTATATTATTATGTTACTCGTGATACATGCATGTGCTGTGTGCATCGGATCGTGTGTGTAAGCAGGATGCATCGACAATTTCCGCAGATTGTATGCAAATGAAATGCGAGCGTTCGGGGTGATGGAGCGAACGGGTAACGACAAAAGATACGCATCGCAAACGAGGCGTAAAATCGAGATGAAAATTATTTACTGTTGAATCGTATTTCAACTCGGGCACTGACCATTCTGGTTTCCATTGTGACAGGGAAGATGCATATCATACGGCTCTTGTGTTGGGATAGATAGCAATTAAACGATAAATTAATGAAGTGTTAAACGTATGGCGACCCGGCTTGCGCTGTTTACCCGGTTTTTGCACCAACCCACTAAACATGCCAACATTGGGCCAACGATGTGGTTGGAAACCGTTAGACCAGCGTTGGCCCAGTGTTCCATGTTTACTGGGAAGAGCTAAGCTGGCACGCGGTTCAGCGTGAGAATCTACGCGTGCCATCATGCGCGCTGGCGAGTTGTGTACAGGCTGCGCACGCGTGCGTGGGTGCGTGCGTGGGTGGGTGGGTGAGTGCATGAGTATGCACGGATGCTGCACATACGTAGCAGCCGATCCGCGTGTAATAAAAAAAACAGTAGCGCAGGCTGCGCGTTCTCCGCGGCGGATTAGCTTCTACGACAGCCAAATCGAGTTACCAAACCGCAGAGTTGGCAGAAATCCAGGCACGCTCGTTAAGGCGGTGGTGAGGAGTTGGAGCGAGCGAGCGAGCGGCAGCCACCCCCACGCGGGGGCTACGAAACCGTGAGCCATCGGACGTTGAGCTGCGCACACATTGCTCTTCGAGCTGGGACGTCCGATCATTTAAGTGACTGATCCTCTTCCCCGTTATCGGTTTAATTACGCGACCTATCAGGAGAACTCGAAAGTCTTTGGGAGTCTCACCTTCGTTCCCACGTGCGCCAAGGTTGGTGACGTTACCGGCACGACGGGGCATGGCCTGTCTGGGGTGCCCTGCCTTTAAGAGGATGGATGTGGTGGCAGTCGCCACCAAAGTTGAAGGGGCCCGAACAATTGACCAACGAAATATTGTCGATCGCAACGTTCACACGGTAAACCGTCGTAACGGGCTAAACGTTTGGGCCCTACGTCGCACGCGCATGCGTGCGTGCTTGCGGGTGTGCATGCGTCAGTCGACCCGTGGCACCTGGGTCTGCCCCATGACCTCCTGCCAGCGCGTTCGACACTTCACGTGGCCTCAAGGTGCACATGGCCTGGCACAAGCGTCGTGGTGACATCACCGCCACTTAGTGGCGAATGGCGGTTGTTGTTGTACGAGCGTGCAGCGCCTCACCCTCACGCTGCGCCGAGTACTCGACCCGGTAGCCCAGCACGCGGCCGCGGCTCTCTGCCCTCTCCAGGGGGAGCCAGCTGACGCGGATGTCTGTGCCGCCGGCGCTCGACAGGGAGAGCTGCGGCGCCGCCGACGGAACTGTCACCCAGTCACAAAGCGAGAGAACAGAAACGACGATTAAGAAGAACCACGTGACACCACTGCATAGGGTTTGGTGGTTGTGCCAGTAGAGCTCCCTCCGATGTGTTTTTTAGAGTTGTGCCAAATTGTTGTTTGGAATGACGTCCGCCGTTCCGCTCCCAAGCACCGAACAACACGTGGCACACTGCGCCAAATGACATGCGGTGCGACCCAAAAACACTCAGGAGAAACTGCACCTACGTCTCACCTATGAAGCGATGAGCTCTCCGGCGAAAGTGTACACGTGCGGAGAGAAAGTACCCCGCCACTGCGTATCGGATACAAATGTAAAGGCCCTTCATATTGCTTTGGGGGAAAATGCATTTAGGATGCAGCGAATGAGTTTGAAGTCAGCAACCCCTTCCCTCCACCAACCCGCTCCCGATTCCCCGGGGGCTGCAGCCAATCAGGGGGTATTGAGACGATGTTCATTAACGAGGGTGGCGCCGAGGTGCTCTTGACCTGCGGTACGACAACAACGCCTACAACAAGTGAACTTTTTAAGATCGTGGTACAAAATGGAAACCCCGACGTTTCTTTTTCCATCGCCTTAAGGGGCAGGGAAATGTCGGACTTGCAGAGTAATCGATCGATGTGTTTAATCAATCACCTGTTTCAGCACCGCCCGGTCAAACGCTTTAGCGCCGCTGAGCGGCCGTGATTGATAACCGGGCTTGGTATTTAAGAGCGCTGATTAATTAATTGCCGCAGCTTTCAAAAGAATTGCTGAGCCCATGGTATTCACCGTTAAAAGCTAACGTAATGATATACAACGATAAATAATGACCCTGGTTTTTAATACGGGGGTTTTTTTTTGCCCCCCCCCCCACCACCACCACCGAGCAAAAAATATAAAATAAAAATATCGGTGGACATTTCCCGTGAAAAATTGCATTCTCCGAGAAAAGTATTTTATTGATTTGACAAATGGTCAACGATTAGCAAGGAAAGGGCAGCGAGTGCTGACGTGTGTGCGTGCAAGTGTGGCAGTCGGCGGACGGAGGAATATTTACAAGCGGCTTGTTTAGCAGTGCGTAGGGGTTAAGCTGAGAGAAATAAAGAGACGTCTGTCATTTAGTCGCCTTTGGTCGGCGCGGCCTTGTCTCGGGGAGTCAGGCGGAAAGCTAAAGAACGCTGTGATCGCTATCGCGGCAGGCGAGTGGCACATCGATCGCGACGCAGCGAGCAGCGCTCACTCGACGTTCAAGCGGTGGGGGGGGGGGGGGATTGAGAGAGGGGAAGCGATGCGTGGCCTCTCTCTACTGTGTAGGTTTTCACGGTCGCGACGCACAGCGCTCCGTTGTTGTTGTCACGATGTGCAAACGTAACGATGGTTTATGTGCAGTCAGTCGTGACCAGGTTTGGGCCGCATGCTCGAGAACGTGGTTCAATCAGTTTTAATATGAATTCGTTTATTTATGCGGAAATGCTTTTTGTTTATTGGAGGGTTTTTGGTCTGTTGCTCAATAGCGATTAGGTAGATATTCATATGCCTATTTAAAAACTGGTCATTAGAAAAAAATGTTTGAAATGTAATTCTCACCAGCCCGCATGGTGTTAAGTGCCATCTCCAACCCTTATGAACTCTCTGCCCTCTCTATTCCTGTGCTACGAAGAAGGGTCTTTGCCAGAACGTCAACTATTAGCAATGATTTCTTTATATTAATGCAGTGTTATTGATGATTTTTTTTTGCCTGCTCCATCACGGGTGGCTGAAACCCGGAATCGAACCCAAGCCCTCACCGGTGCCGGCTCAGCGCCACTGTCGCGGTGTTCCTCGCCTGACCTGGCTGGCTACCTCCCCCACTGGCGAGCGCTCACAAAGGGCACGACGAGAGAGCACGCGCGAGGTCGTGCGCGAGCCCAGAGAGCCGAGTCAGCGCGACGCAGACACAAAAACCTAAATAAATTTGCGGCAAAGCAAAGTGGTGCCCTGGGTTCTGGAAGAGAAGCTACAAAAACACAAGGACGTCATCTTCTTCTCGGCAGCCCCAAATAGCGCGGAGCGTGCGCGCATCGCCTCGTCGCGCGATAAGGGATTCGCTCCGGAGCGAGCGATGTCGCTGAATGCGTTCGCGGGAGAGGCGCGTCTGAGATAGCGTCGCTCACGCTGCCTCTAAAGTTACGGCAACACAGCCCTGTGTGCGTGCAATCGTGTGATCGCGTGTGGGTGCGTGTGTGCGTGGGGAGCGGTAGTGTAGTGGTTAGCACGCTTCGCTCACGGCCAACACCAGTGACAGTTATTTAAACCGGTCCTGGGCCTCCCCTAGGTCGACTCAGCCTCAAATGAGTACCTAATGTGGTGTGTAAACATCGTCACTGGGGATAGAAAGAGCGGCCGGGCCATGTCGGCCTTCATGGGTGTTGGCTAACAGCACTTACCCCAAGTCTGTTCAAGCTGTACGGGGATGTGTGTATGTGAATATGTGAACGTCTCATCGTGTGAATGCGAGCGTGTGAATGCGAGCGTGTGTATGTGTGTGTGAAATGTGTCTGCATCCATACTACATAGAGATACGTTGTACACATCCACACTACATCGAGGTACAATGTCGACGTCCATACCAAAAAAGAGAGAGATGCAATGTATACGCACGGAATACATTGTATACATACACACCACGTACCCTAGAGAGCAACACGGTACGTACATCTACACCACACGGGAGCTACGCCGGAGGGGTTCCACACCGCACCTCTCCGCACCGTCGCGTCTCGCGATCGGCCCCCGACTCACCGTCCTCGGGCGTGCTCACGGTGAGTAGCTGCGAGGTCTGGCTGGCGCCTCGCTGGCTGTAGGCCACCATGTAGATGGTGTAGTTGGTGTCGGGCTCCAAGTCCTTCAGCAGGAATTCGGCCGTGTCGTTGTTCACCGCGAACTGGTACTCCTCGTTGTTTATGCCTACGACGAGCGGGCGGGGGGGGGGGGGGGCGGCAATTGACCGCGTCCAAGCCATTGTCAGCATCATCGTTGTCATCCACGCCATCGTCATTCAATGTTGGCTGCCGTTATTACAGTTGCCAACCTCTGAAGGTGTCCCGCTAATACATGATGATCTGAATAAGCATACTCTACCTCGTGCGTGCTTTGCATCTCCCCAATGAGCAAGCATCAGGAGAGGCGATAAACGAAGGACATACAGAATCTTCGACCCGAATGAAAAGCACGGCGTAGGTTTTATTTCTTTCTTCGCGGTGCTGCTCCACAGCTCTGGAATTTGTGTGTTCAGGATCGACCGTGTGTTGTTCACTTTATTTATTGAGGAAGCTCGCAACAAGTGGGTTTAAATGTCAGACATGATGCCGAACAACACGCGGTATAACCGAAAACGACATCGGAGAGCTGACCAGAATGAATGTCATCATCCTGATGTTCTTCACTGTCATCATCATCGCTGCTGCTGTGGTGGCAGTGGTGACAATGTATTTTCATTACCCGCATGGTATGGATATTGTGCGATGGCTTTCAGTGAAAGAAGACAGCAACTTTTAATTACTGACCCTGACGTTTAATGATGTGATCTGTGAACTTGCACTGACTTATCCCATGGAACTCCAAATACAAACCCTCTCGGACGCTACAATCAGTGGACTCCCATCTCCTTGTGTCCCACCAACCCATCCCGACTGACAGACGCTTTGTCAAACGAGCTCCAACATTACCACACCATCTTCCCTTTCAACTTCAGTCGCGTCCTTCGTGGGTTTTTGAGTCACACCCCAAAACCACGGTTCTTCTGCAAGGAACTATTAAAATTGGCGCAATTATGAGAAGCGAGTGAGTGGTAAAGCAATCTTGATTTGAAGCTTTCGTGACTGCAGGAATCCATACTCCTTGGTTCTTTTGGTAACTTTACCAAAATAACCAAAGAGAGTGGTAAACCTCGATTTAAAGCTTTCGTGACTGCAGGAATTCATCTTCTTGGTTTTTTCGGTAAAGTCAAGTAGAAGGGAAATAATAAAATAATAAAATAACAAAAATAAAACATAATTTGTATTTTTATAATTTTATTATTTCCCTTCTACGTGACTTTACCGAAAGAACCAAGAAGAAGAGTGGTAAACCGTTGAATGCTGCCCGATTCACATTTGAGTGTGGCATGGGGGCATGCGATGTGTTGTCTGATTGTATGGCTTATGAGAAGTGGATGTGTGGTAAACGATGTGCTAAACGGAATGCGTGGTAGGCAATTGAATGCTGGCTGATGAACGTTTGAGTGCGGTATGATTATGATGATGTGACATATAGATTTATTGTCAGGCCCCTTGGAGTGTCGTTCATTGATGACAAATCCATTGTTTTTGAGTTGTACGCCTTGTGGCGTCATCTGGTCCAACACCAATGGAGACTAGGCTCTAAGAAAAGCTGTCTCGGGTGTGGACCAATCAACTTCAAGGACAGTGCATATCATTATCATTATCAGAGTTGTTTCTTTTTGTTTGCATTTTGACTGCTTGTGTTGTGGTTATTGCAAACATGATGCCTTGTATAAAGGTGTCAGTTTTGTACCAGTTTAAAGGGTAAAAACCTACTACTAAATCCATTGTTATTACTACTATTCAAATACCTTGGCTGCATTGGGTTTCTATTTAAACTCCCAAATGCTATTCGATAGACTCACTCACTGACGCGCCACGCAAAGAGCATACGCTTCCATCGGGCCGACACTTTTCCAATTAAAGGAGAGAAAGAAAACGTGTGATTACGCATTTCCTTTTTTTTCTCACCCTAAAACAAAGTGTGCATGTGTTTGTGGTTTTTTTTCTTCTTCTGTGGGAACAGAAGCAGCCACATTTCCTGGTCGGTGACAGGGAATGAACGCGGGGGGAGTGGGGAGCTGCACTGGTGCATTCAACACCCAATCGAATTCACATGCTAATCCACCATAAAGCACCATCTGTCCCTTCTTAGCAATCGTCGACGCAACACACACACCAATTTCAGTGTACATATTTCTCTTTCTTTCTCCGTAATGATGTCAGGGCTTTGCTCGCGCAGCGTGATGTTTGCTTTAAACCCTCGGCGTTAAAAACAAAATAAAAGCCTCTGGAATTTGGGTTTTTTTTTCCCTGCAGGGAGTGACGCTGCGAGCGCTAACGCAGATGCTGCTGCCGCTGCGTATGAATTACCGGGACTTTTTTTTCACGCCTTACGCTGCCAGGTCGGGTTTCTCCCGACGTTACTCTTCGTGGATTCGCTTGAGGTGTTGATCTCGCGCTCTCTCCCCTCACCATCGTCCCGATGGCTGCATTGTGACTACAAGAAATCGTGTTTCTGTAAAATCCTCCACACAGTGCTCCCACTCGGTTCGGAAAATGTACCAACGTGCTTCTTGGTCCTGTCCAGATGTTCATCGTGGATATATATATAACCGTTATTCAATCATTCTAGATTTGAAGCTTTCGTGACTGCAAGGAGTCATGCTCTTAGGTTTTTTCGGTAAAGTCACGTAGGTAAAAAATAATAAAATAAAATAATAATACATGAAAATAAATCTATTAAATCACGACGTTTCGGAGGCAACACAAGTCTCTCCGTCTTCAGTATCAAGTGAGGAGAAATCCTCACTTGATACAGTAAATCTAGCTGTGACGGTCCCACCTGAAGACGGAGACTTGTGTTGCCTCCGAAACGTCGTGATTTAAATTTTTTTTTTTTACCTACATGACTTTACCGAATAAACCTAAGAGGACGTTATTCAATACTTTAATTCGCATGTGTTCTGCATCAATTATTCCTACCGCTAAAGATTGTCTCTCCAGTGCATAGCATCTTCGCGGTTGTGCTATGCAGCTCCGATGTGTCTTCGGGTTGTACCGCGTGTTGTTTGGCATGATGTCCGACGTTTCACTCCACGTGGAGGCAGCTCTGTCAGGAACCGTCCAGGAACATCGGACAGCCAGGACATTTGTCTTCGATGCCTTCTACCTCCAGTACCGCTTACTGGAAACGCAGTGACCGCTCTTTCAGATGTCAGACTTACCACACTCCGATGAAGGAAGCCAGTAGACAAAACAACGTTTCGTGTTTGGCTTCCAAAATTGCATGAAATGGCAGCTCTAGAACACCTGGGTGCTGCTACCCGTGGGGAAATGAGCAAATACAGCAGCACCTGGGACCCTTTCTAGAAGCCAATCACTATTCACCAAATTAATAGAATAGACGTTTTTCTTAACCCCTCCCTCCCTCTGGCGTTGGCACCATTCCCTGGGCAGGAGTATTGGGGATGCCGCTGCCTGAACACATCGTTTTCAAGCAGAAAAGGCACCAGTTATCATATATCACAGTCCAGCGGAGGAAATAATTCCGTGTTATTTCCTCTCCCGTTGATGTCCATTGTTGCGTTTTGCGTCGCGCGTTCGTGTACTTGTCCGTTGTCGCACCAGGGGTGGAGATAATAACCTCCGAGATGCCCTTAATTTGTGCTTTCTCCGCAGGCCGCATTTGATCGATAAAACGAATGCGAGAGAACATCCTCCACGCAGTCTTCAGACTCGCGTAGACTCGTGCGGGCTTGTGCAACAATAAATTGCGTGTTTAAACGATTGTGGTTTTTAAAAACTCCCAGTTCTAATGCCCGCCCCCCGTGCTCTCCCCCCCCACCCCAGCGCACCCCCTGCCATGGTTTTAGATTTTTGGCGATTAACAATTTCTTACATTCATATGCAAATCAAGGCGATATACACTGAATACTTGGTGATGCTGCATTGACAGTGGTGCACAAGCACGGTTAACAAAAAAACAACACATTCGTCAATAGCACGAGCTTCAAAGAAAAATCATACAATTAATCTCTCTGGCATCTCTATGTGCAATGAAGAAGGGCCATTGCCCGAAACATCACCGATATTTTTCTCCCTTTTAAACGCAGCATTGTTGATGAATGCGTTGCATTGTTTTCAACATGCGCTTGCGTGGACCTGACAGTTGTAACCGCGGAAAGCTGCACTGCGGGGGGTGGCCGGGAAACGCTGATGCAACCCGCGATGGGTGTATCCCACGGGTTGAGCAGCCCGGACCTCGTTCAGCCGAGGGTTCCACGGAGCTCATGATTAATGTATTCCTGGGATGTGCAGCCCACGGAAGTTGTTGCAGAGGACTCGTGCGTATTCCAAGGGCCACACAGCCGCAAGCTCATGTAGCCCAGTGCATTAAAATGCAAACATAGCAGGACTGCAGACTACGTCGCTCCGTGCAGAGACACTATAGCCGAGGAGTTGGCTGTCATCTGAGCCGGGGAGTCGAACCATTGTGTGTGTGTGTTAGACGCTGCCCCATGTTCTATCCCCTCAGCTAGAGTGCCTCCACTCCCACACTACTAAACTCTGGACCGGATTCAACATAAAGGTGTCTCATCAGCAGAGTCAGGCTTGCTCGAATCAATGCTGGTGAACCTGCCAGATTACACAATACACAACTCGTACAGCAGATTACACAACGCGCGATCATTTTTTTTTGGCGAACACAAGCGGGGTCGATCGCCGTCACTCACCGACGGCCTTCTGGTAGTGGATGGAGAATCCGATGATCTCTCCGCTGTGCTGCTCGGGCCTCTCCCAGCCGATGACGAGCGCCACGCTGGACTGCACCGTCGCACGCAGGTTGCGCGGCGGGCCCGGCAGGCCCTCGCGGATCGTAACGGTGAGGCGAGCCGAGGCGCACGCCGAACCCACCCCGTTCTCGGCCACGCACTGGTAGGGCCCGGCGTCCTCGACGGCCAGCTGGTTGATGACGAGGTTGTGGTTGTTCTGGATGCGCACGCGCCCGTTGGAGAGGATGCGCCGCCCGTTCTTGAGCCAGCGGATGACGGGCGGCGGCTCGCCCTCCACCTTGCAGATGAAGCGTGCGGTGCCGGCGCGAGCCTTGCTCAGCGTCTCGGGGGGCTGCGTGATCGCGGGGGGCACTGGGGAGAGAGGGGTCGCCGTGGCGCGCGGACCGCAGAGACGTCAATCGGTCAATGTGGACGTTTGTGATACGCGCACAGTCATTTGGTTTAAGATGCATTTTTCTCCGTAAATATAAGATCAAGCACTCGCCAAACTGCTAATGCGGTGAGTACAATCCATCACACACTACCTCATTTATTTTTTTAAGATAAAGATAAACTGTATATAAACATTAATTCCAGAGTCATGTCAACCACCAGAGGGAGCTCACACAAACAGCACCACCGCCGTGAAGACAGGAGTTTGAGAACACAACACAAGACAGAGAAGAGACGACAAATCGGAACACAGTCAACCGTCTGTGAACTGCACTGCCAAATGTCCCCCCTTTCTCCACGTCTCCTCTGGACAAGCGCCATTTGAGTTTGGTGTGCCGAGGTAGCGCCTGGCAGTTCGTGTTGTGGCGGTTTTCGGTTATCGTACAAGGTTGTTGCTGCCCTGTCTACATCTGCGCAACAACAAAAAAAACAGCCTGGGAGGGGAACGTAATTCCAGCCACTGCGATTTTTATGGCAAAAGCAGCCTCTCTATTATCTCGTCTTACTCTCGAAACAAACAAATGGCAAGTACAGTTTGAAATGCCCTCCGTTAAATAGTGTGCCGGTGGGATAAAATAACGGAGACATTTACGTTGCATTGATTTAAAAGCATTTAATTGTTTATGAGTATTTAATAATAATATAAGAACATCAATAACGCTCTTTTTTTCTGACCTTACTGAGTCTCAGGACTTTTTTGCCAAGAGGGTCCTGCATTGGGATGTTTGGTCAGTTGAACTCAGAGTGCTGCGTACATAGCGCACTGCTCTGACCACTCCAACCACAGCTTCCCATATCATGTACTCCACTCACTCCCCAAAGACTCACACACACACATTTATAAAGACAAAGATGCCCTGTATAGTCTTCACGGACTGTTGGAGCAAGTGCTGTTAGCGAGCCCCGATTCAGGACGGCACATTGCAAAATGGGGTTGTGTGGCCAGCATCACACACTGCACCGGGTACTCCGGGTACTCATTTCATGCCGAGTTGACCCAGGGGATGCCCAGGACCAATTCAGTTAGTAAGTAAAACTCAGTTTTATGTAGCACCATTCACATAAGGCCTCACAGCACTCAACGACACAATCCTGTAAAACCACTCAACATTAAAACTAAAGAGTAAAACAAACCTAAACAGACGGATATGCAAGAGAAAATACATTAGTTTTCAGATGAGCCTTAAACACCTTCGACTGACAGAGCGTCCCTGATGGACTGGAGATAGACATTCAACAAACGAGGCGCCTGACTACTGAAAGCTCTATCACCCATTGAATGCAGATTTATCCTTGGTATACTTCAGGTGTTATAACCCCTGTTGTTAGCAGTATGCCAACCACTATACGGCGACTCACCAAACTCACACGCACTCACTTACGCACACACGCACATTCATATAAGACACATGCAACTGGACACGCTCTCTTTCCATATTGCTTTTGGCTGGCGGATGCGGCAGTGCAGTGGCACTGTGCACAATGGTGAAATGCGGTGGTGCGATGTTGTGGTGAGGGGTTTAGCCGTGGTGCGTGGTGTGTAGTGGCAGTGCGAAACAGCGGTGTGGTGTGAGTTGGAGTAAACCGTGCTCAGCAGCGGTTTGGTGCGGCACAGTGCGTAGCAACAGTGCAGCGTTGGTGTGGTGTGGTGCGCATCATCAGTGGCGTGGTCTACGTATGTGTGTCAGTCAACCCATGGCACCTGGGTCTGTCCCGTGACCTCTTGCCAGCGGGCGTTCGATACTTCACGTGGCCTTAAAGTGCACGTAGCCTCGCACAAAGACCGTGGTGACATCACCACCGCGAAGTGGCGTGTGTTCGTTGAACTTCTTTCGCACCGCACGTAGCCAACCGTGCTAATCGGAGGGCGCTCGCAAGGCTGTGGGCGGCTTGCCAGTGTGCTGCGCTGCGATCCGGGTGCTCGGCGGCAAAGCGCCCGACCCTACCCAGCACGGCGAGCTGCGCCGTGGCGGTGGTGAACTGCCGCGAGCCGAGCTTGTTGACGCGGCAGACGTACGCGCCGGCGTGGACCGCGCGCACGCGGACAAACAGCAGGTTGAAGCGGCCGAGCACCGCCGCGTCTGGGCTGATGGGCATCCCGTCTGTCAGGTGGTGGGGTGGGCGGGGGGGGAGGAGACGCGGGAGAGAGACGGGAACGCGTTCACTAGACGGGACTTTTCTGAGCGCCGAAGGCAGCTGCTGGTGTCAGAATTGGCACGTCTTGCGAAGCTACTCGGGAGTCACAAAAAGGACAAGATCAGGAACGATGATACTGTAGGAAAAAACAGTGTTGGTACAAATTAGTTTTTTTTCTGGAAGAAAGCATTGTAGGAGTTTTCTTAAAGAAAAAATCCTCGAGGAATATGAACATGACAGACTTTGAGCATGAGCGTTGGCCACGATGGTGAAGGGAAAGTGAGGACAGGGAAAGCCGAGGAAAAAGGTGGATAAAAGAAGGACATGTAAGGCCAAAATAATTGGTGAGCCATTGCTCACGTGGCATGGACCCAGCTGCCTCCAAAGGCTGGGAAGGGATGATGATGATGATGAAGTAGCGAAAGCCTGAAATCGCAACGCAAGAAAAAAAATATAATTCCACCCCGAACCAAACATCAACAACAGGCAATGGAGGTCAGATCACAAAAATGCCTGCGCAACGCGTGCGTGCGTGCGCGGGGGAATGATGATTGCTTATCGAAGGTTGGTAAACATGGAGAGCTGGTACGACGATGTCATTATCGCCCTTAAGGGATAAAAAAAACGACAACAAATGACTGCCTGTGCAGCAAACTGGATTTCTGCGGCTTGGCGGGGTGCATGCACGTCCTCTGGTACCGCATCCCATTGAGTGGACGCAGCTGGAAGCTGTTGCTGCAGAGATGGCAGCTTTTCGAGTGGCGGTGGCGTATTTATCTTTGTACAAAGCAACATTGCGCTGGGGCCACAGGCCGCCGAATGTGATTTTTTTCTTCCCCACGTTAAAATAGCTTCAAACGACCCGGACAACATGTCGAACAACACGTGGAACCAGCAGGACACACAACCGCGAAATCCCACGCTGTAGCAACCTCTTTGCTGTTATATTCATTTTTACTCGGGCCTTCCTTGTACAAGAGAGACTTCTGGTCTCAATGAGCTACTACCTGACATTAAATAAATTGCATTGTACTGTTTACATTTTTACTTATCATGCAGACGCAGGCCAGCAAATCCCAGCTCATTACACATTTTTTGGAAATGCAAAGAAGTTTACAGGGAATTGACGGGATATTTGGATAGATAAATACTTAACGGACTGGGAGAAAAAAAATACGCTAGTTATGGGTAAATTGATTCAATAATCCTTCAATACGCCCAGCAATTTGCCTAATAAATTGTCTCAGGATATTAAAAAAATGTGAAATATATGAAAATACAATTACGGGTTAACAGCAGGCAAAGTGGGACCAGGGAGAGTGTATACTTTTGTCAATCATCTCGAGAGTGTTTTCCCTCCTCTTAATTGCCGTCATTTTCGTAGAGTTTAGCCGCTATTTTCAACTGCACCGATTCACCAGCCGGGCGATGGCGGTTTTGTAATGCCCAACGATTAACTTGTTGGATTTACGAACATGAGCTTTTGTTAATTTGAGACGCCAATTTAAACCGGTATTTAAAAAAACTCTTTTTGTATGGTTTTCAATGTTATTCCAATTGTGCTATCGGCATCGAGTAATAAGACGAAGTGTCCAGATTTATTGAATAGCAGTGCATGAGCCTTATGTTAAGAGTATGGCCTGCAGAAAGAGATATCACTGAACCGCTTGACATCAATTCAAGCGAACCTCTTATCCACTAGACTGCACCTTCACACATTCCCTTCCACCACAGATATCACATGACAGTAAAAGTGAGCTTTGTCATTTGCAGAATCTCAGAACATTTTTGCCAAATGAAGGGAGAGATCACGTTAATGTGATCGTTTATTTCTGAAGTCATTGGTGAAAAAATCAGCTCACTACACCCATTATAATCACGAGACACTCCTAATTTGAACCCAGCTAATCCAGTTGCTTGTTCAGTGCCCTTTCTCTTTCAAATCACAGTTACTGATCACAGGCCCAAAAGCCCAAAAATCCAACAGCTTGTTGCTAACCGCTTGGTGTTTCATCCCTTTTTGGCTAAACAAAAACATGCCTTAGATAATCAGATTACAGTAACCCATTGCTTGTAACGGCCCACTCCTCAAAACTGGAGGGATGTTTTCCGAATATCCCCACCCCACTTGCTCTGAAAAATGGACCATTGCAGACAGTGACTCTTGCTTTGCTGTAGTTCATCATTAAGCCTCTTTACAGGTTAAAGGCACCCACGTGTGTGAGACTAGATGGCAGAGCAATGGTTAGGCTACGGGGTCTCAAAATGGACTAAAGTAATCGGCTAATCGTTCCGGCCGCACGCTGATTGACGGCACTGACCGAGGCGGCTCCAGGAGACGATGGGGTCGGGGGTGCCCGTCGCGAGGCACTCCAGCACGGCCGAGCGCCCGGCCACCACCGTCACGTTCTGCGGCCGGACCACAATCGCCGGGTCCTGGGACTCGTTCTTCTCTCCTGCGCACGCACGCACGCACGCACGCCGACGGCGGCGGTCAGCCGGGCGAAAGGTTTACCGGCAGCGACGGCTCGTCGATCGAAGTAAATATCGTGGGCTTCGTGGTACAAACGGCGAAGTGTAACCGTGAGCAAACGGAGCTGCGTGAACCGAGAAGGCGTACGGACCAGAGCAAGGGAGCGCACTGTTTCATACCGAATGTAAACCGTGTGACACTTCAAAGGGTTCATTGCGTCATCTATACGAGCACACTCATCGTCCGCAGCAGCAGCCATGATCTATCCACTGCGCGATGAAGGTAGTGACCTCTTTGCTGTTGTAGTCGTTGCCATCTCTCACATTCTCGCAATGCAAACATCCGTCTAGCTCCTGCACGTGAGCGGATTTCACCGCTCCATCTCCGCAGTGCAGGTGACCTCAGGAAAGCTCACTCTTGACTCTCACTCTGTTGTTAGTCTCAATCACTGGAGCATCATCCCTTCGAGCCATGTGTCCCTGCTCAAGCACTACTTACTTTTATTAGGCCTCAATACGATGCCTTTAGATTTTACAGCAATTACTGCGTTGGGTTTCGCAGTTTTGCTGTACAGGTCTCCGATATGCTTTTGCGTCGTACCGCGTGTTGTACGGAACGATGTCCGACGTCTCGCTTCCAGAAGGAGAAGCTTCCATCAGCGAAACGTCGGACATCATGGAAAACAAACAACGCGCGGTGCATGCCGAAAAACACATCGGAGAGCTGCGCACAATTTCGTAAAAAAAGAAACCAGCCACATACTCGCAAAATAATTAAGTAAATTTGGGGTGATACAAGAAATAAACCATTTAACTGTCCCATTGCTGATGCACGCGAGCAGCTCTGACTGATGGGAAGCCACACACGAGGCCTGACGAGCGCTGAAAGACAGCTGTTTGCACGGCCGATCTGTAGCAGCAGCAGTAGCAGCAGCTTTTCCCTGAAACCCCACTCTTAACAGCGGGTTGCTATTACGCAACGAGCATAGCCGAGTGCGTGACAGCCTACATTTACGGCGTGTGGATAAAGCTCGACGTATCTGCACGGGAGGCCTGCACCGAGGGTAGGGGGGGGGGTGGAGAGCGCTTTCGTGGCACCACCACACAAACGCCATGGCATTTGCGCGATGGCAGGCTTCGGTGGCCGTTAATAGGCCGTCTGCCTCGAATCAAACAGTTCAGGTAAAGTGGAGAAAACAAAAAAAAATGGCTCAGAGCCTGTTAAAAAGAGGCGGTCGGCAAAAACGTGAGCATCAAGCAAAGCAAGTCGTAAAAAACATAAACCACCACATCCAATTTGACATTCTCGCGCTGCGTACGGCCGTGCGTGGCGTACGCACCTCGCTGCGGCACGCATCCCTGAAATATTTCTCGTCTGCATCACGGCGCCTGGTCAACAAAAGAGTGGCTTAATTGCTGCGTCTGCCTGTCAGGAGAAATCCTGCATGGCACGGTGAAGTGCCAGTCACATCTGGTCAGCAGCCTGCTGATGGACAGGATATATACTGTGGCTTTTTAAATAAAACGTGGAGGGGGGGTGATTCAAATGGTTAATTCTGAAAAGGACCAAAAGCTCTATCTTGCCCACGAGCCCCTCCCGTCTGTCCCACAGCTGCCCACTTAAAGGCTGAACATAAGCATTTCTCAGAATGCACGGTTAATTTCGGGCACGTCAAGAGCCTTTAGGTACGCCTCAAATTAACTCCATTCAACAACGGAGGAGAGCGGCAGCAGTCGGCGCCCCGAGCAATCAACGACAAGAATCGTTATCAATTCACTCCCCCCCCCAGAAAGCAAGAGCTTAGCTCGATAACATTCATAATCCATTTTTTCGCCAAGTAAATAACATACAAAAAATAACACTGAGAGAGAGGCACGTCCACGACAGCACTCAATTTCTCCTTTAACTCGTTTTCCGCCGCACGTTCGTGCCGCCCATTGAAGCGAGCGAGCGAGCGGGCAGCCGGGCCTCGCTCGGCGGATTTGGCGTGACGCGGAGACGCCAAAAAACTTTGGGCAAAATTCAAGTGCGTCAAACAGTTTCGCGTCGAGATCTTTCCCAGCGACGATGGCCTCCTCCCGTGTTACGGTCTCCCCCCCCGCCACAGCGCACGTGAAACCCGTGGCAGGGCCGCGGGGCGTTCACGGGAATGGGTTAATTAACGAGGCCCCAACGCCCTATTTGGGAGGGATGTTATCCACGCGGCTCGCGAAGGTCTTTGTTCGACGCTCGCTCGTTTGCCCAATCTTCCTCCCGTTCCTCGGCGGGGGCCTCACGTTGGTGGCACAGGACGCGCATACAAAACGTGCCCACAGATTGTGTCTGCTGACACGGAGGCAGCGCGGTACCCGGTGACGACCGGGGCGGAGGCCGAAGCGGGGACCTTGACAGCCACTAAAACACAAAGCGTGGAGGACAAACGGTATCGTGTCTCAATTTCTTTGTCACCCCCTCCCAACCCCCCCCTCCTCCCCCCACGACCATCCCATATCCCCCTCTTTCTCCCATACCCCTTCCCTGTCCGAGATGGGATTTTTTTCTTCTCTCCCTCTAACAGTCAATGAGTAATGGCAGCCATCTCGAGAAGGTCACTCTGACTGGCGACCATTTTCGTGGGCAAAGCATCATGGGAGAGTGACGGCAGGAGGAGCAGCATCTTCACGAGGCCCTTGCAAGGCGGAGGTTTTACGCATCGCTCGGCGATGTGCTTTTGAGTTGCGCGCGGCACAAGCCGAACGCTCATCGGAGAGAGCCGCGTGTCTGTCAGGTGTCTGACGTCTGGTGCTGGTGGTGATTCGTGGCCGTCACTCTGAAATATACTGCCCAGGTCCCGATTTGTATTTGCAGGGTGAAATGTGTAAGTGGTGTGGCCCTCCTCTAGGTTGATTCAACACAAATTGAGCACCAAGTGTCGTAATCATGCCTCAACTGGAGTGAGGGACGGGGTGCCAGCTATTAATAATATTAGTGAAAAAATAAAGTAATTTACTTAATATGGATTCTAGTCCAATTTTCACAAGTGTTTTGCATGTCAGAGAAAATTGGAGTACCCAGAGAAAACTCACACATATGAAGGGAAAATATGAAAAGGTCCATAAAGATGCATTCAGCAAAGCATTTGCTGTACTGCCACCACATAGCCAGCTCTTATCCTGAAATGTGTATAAGTTACAAAAACAAATACCCTGTCCACAGTGAGTCTTTCCTAGGTTAACAACCGTATCCATCATTATTTTTGTTATGAGGCCCAAAATGTGGTTCGGCGAATCCTAAGTGAAATCTCAAACGGGGCACCTCCATAATGAGAACTACGGCTGATTAGGTCGGTCGGCGAGCGGGGCGGGGCAGGGCGACATTTAAAGTGGAGCATGCTGCAGCAATTATTTGAAAATTGTAATTGCCCATAATTACCACCGCCTTACAAAAAAAAACCCACACACACACACAAACGACGATGTGCAAAGCAGGTTGAGTAACGTGGAAGCGACGAGTTGCGGCGACGGCCAGCGGATTTTTTGCGGCGACTCGTGCGTGGACAGCGCAATAGGAAGACGTGGAAGTCGAGAACGTGCGCAAGATCGTCGGGTGGGCTTGGGCAAGGCGCGTCGGTCGAAACGACGATGGCCGTTGGTTGAGACCAGCGATGGCGAAAGGAGTGGAACGCGCCGGAGAGGACTTTAGTCATTAAACACTTTCATTTTATTTTATTTTACCAATTAAGGCTCACTGACGTACAGTGCTCTTTTTTTCAGGATGTGACCTGGCCACAAATGATAGGCCCAATGAAGTGGCTAATCATTTGGAAATGTATAGTAGCCAAATAGCTATAAACACACGTTTATAAATATGGGTGGGAAAAAACGGGAGGACCCGGAGAAAAATCAACTTGAGATACACGCAAACTCCAAATATACAGGCGTCAGGGTTGGGATCGAACCCATGACATCCTGTATACCAGGCGAGGTAGCTAACATCTCGCAACCGCGGCGCCCCTGTGGAGATTGAACGTTGAAATCGGCTGAGGTATAAGCACTAGATGGACTGTGGCGCTACAGGACCGTGAAATATGGAAGTGATTTGGGGAGACCTTCATCCAGCAGTGGAAAGTTCATGGCTGATGATGGACAGATTGCTAGAGGAAGTGCAAGCGGTCACCCCCACACATGCAAAGACAAAGACTCTCTGGAAAGCCCCCTAGACTGTAAGGGCCAATTGCTGTTGGTGAGCACATACAAAAGCCACAAGGAGATTGTGGCAAGCGGTATGCATGGGAGCCTTTTTCTCCCAGGTACTGATGTTTACACACCACACCAAGTGCATCTTAAAGGCTTGACTTAGAGGAGGCCCAGAACATGTTAGCCATGGTTGGGAACTGAACTCCAGATTCATAAGATAGTGCGCCAACTATTACATAACCACCCTATACACAAAATCGCATACATATGTACAACAACAACAGCCACCATTCACCACTAAGTAGCAGTGACATCACCACGGCGCTGTGCCAGATCAGGTGCACTTTGAGGCCACGTGAAATGCCGAAGGATCTCTGACAGGAGGTCGCAGGACAGAGCTCGGTGCCATGGGTTGACTGACTGGCAAATGCATCAGATGTGCCCCCTCCTGTGCCAACGTGCTGCATTTTTAGCGGCGCTCCGCTCATTGTTGTGAGCACTGCTCCTCTGTTGTTGTTGTTGGAGGGCGACTGCCTCCAACTGCCCAGTAGCGTCATTCACGAGCCTCCTCCATACATATATATACACACACACACACCACCTATATACACCCTCACACACACTCCTCTCTCACACACACTCCCACAACACAACCCTCTGTGTCAACCGCTAACAAGGCATGGAAACCCAGCCTGTAATGTCTTGCAAAAGCACATGCCGCATTCAATTTGTATCCTCTCCTAGTGCTGACGACTGCCCTTTTTAGCTCTGCTTAAGATTCTGACATAAAAACGTCAGTAATGTTAATGTCCACCCTGAAGGCTAGTTGTCAGAGCCATCTTGGCTTAATTGCCTTCTTGATCATATTTATTTTGGGCAAAAATTAGTCGGCTCAGTTATTATGTTTTTTTGCTTCGCGTTTATTCTTCCACCGCACCACCGATCAGCACGGTTCGATACGCATGGTGCTAAAGAAGTTAAACATATGTTGAAGAGTTCCCAGGACGCACTCGGAGACGCCAAAGGTTTATTAAGGGCTGTCACAATCTAACACAAGGGTACACAACTCCCAGGGGTTAGGGGTCCTACACTGAGTCCTGGTTCCTGCCTGGCTAGCTCCGGTCTCTCTCTCTCGTGTCGGATCGGGGACTCTGCCAACTCCACCGACCGGAGAGAGAAGCACCTCTATCGGCTACCACCGGCTTCCTTCCAGACTCACTACTCGACCCCTCTCTACCCCTGGTTTCCTCTTCACCCTTCTTACTCTACCCGTTCCCACAGTGACCCCGCTTTCGTCACGGAGTCTCCCTTAAGTACTCCATGAGACATGACGTCATCGAGCCGCCCAGCGTGCATGACGTCACGGCGCACTGGACGGCACACATGATGTCACGTCCCCATTCTACTCCTCTACACATACGTACATACTGACTTCAGGCGGGGGTTGCCAGCCTTCGGCTGAGGGCACCGGCTCCAGTGGGCTTTGCTCACAGGGGCGGAAGAGGTCACCTGTCATGTGTCACGCTGTCCTCGTCGTGTGGCCGGCTGACTTGACAGTCTTTATTTAAACAGGCGAGATGCCATACGGAGATGCAGATCTCCCTTCTCAAGGGGAGAGCTGGACAGGTAAAGTGATACAGAGTAGGATGTGTGCTTTTTGGAAGGTCGTATACATTTCGGAAAGCCACGGACGCCGACGTATTTGAGAAAGCGAAACACATTTTGGATCTGCTCTCGAGCTTTTCCAAACAACTTAGTGAAATCAATTTAACTTGAAAAAAGTGAATTTAAAACCCCGTGTATCGTCAACAAACAATCTACACTAAATAATCTGATTTTGTTTCGGCATCACTTCCACAGCAGCGTTGAGATAGACGATGGTCCTCATGCCCTGAGGCCTGCAGATGAATTTAGACTCCTACCTAGAGGCAGCAACCATCTCCCACGGCAGGGAATGATACCAACAAAACTACCACCCAGCAAGACCCCTCGCGGCTCAGGACAGGACCCTGGCAGCGGCGCTAGAAATCCCTTCTCCGCACGTCCCAGTGGATGTCTGTCGTCCGGAGCGCTCTGCTTCCCACCGTAGACCCCTCGCGCACCCAAGCCAAGCGACAACGCGTCACGGTCGATGACGTAAAACTTGAAAGGATATCCCGTTGGCTGCCATCGCTGGCACAAAGCGTTTGAAGTGGGCTCTTTGTCGGCGCGTTCAAAACATTTAAAAAATGGATTTTCTTTTGTTATTTGTAAATGACAAAAGCTAAATATTTATGTAGCACTGCAGAGTCCTTGGCCCTTTTTTAAACAGCCGTATGCACAATTGAAATGAGTTTAATTTGCATGAATTATAAAAAAAAAATACCAAGCTACAATTGAAACACGTGTTTAAATTCAAGGCTATTAATTGAAAAGCAGATTGAGTGCTTATGCAGCTCTTCGCTGAGTGACTGACTGTCCCGGATGTCACACACGGCGTTCACCTTGAGCAAAATTAAACACCTGGACATTAAAGACCGCCGCACTCTCTCTAAGTGGTAACGATTAAACTCCCCTGCGGAGAATCGATGAACTCTCCTGATTTGGTATCACGATTGCATTCGAGAATTGATTCTTATCTCGTCGCATATGTTCAGTCTCCTTTGCACTATAAGTAAGGCAATAGACAATGCATTCGTTTATCAAATACAAATCTGCAAACGGCCACTGTGCACCAAGTAACATCTGTAACAGGTGGTTATAGCCTGCTGCAGAGCTACATTTTGAACATCAGCGGACAATGCAGAAAAATCCCTCATTGTACTGTACTTCTACGCTCCCATAGTATATGTTCTCCACCTTCAACCAACTTGCACCGAGCAAGGTGGTGAAATAAGTGAAAATAATAAAATGAATGGGGCACTGAGGTGGCTAGATGTTCACTCCCTTGCCTGGTATACAGGAGATCGTGGTTTTCGATCTTGACCCTAGCGCCTGTATGTTTGGAGGTTACATGTTCTCCCCGTGGTCGCGCAAATTTAGAAACATGCATTTAGAATATACATTTCCCCATGATAAGCACACTTCGTTGAGCTATCAGTGGGCCTTACCTGGTAAAATAAAAATAGTTAATAGGTAAATTATCAAGTAACCGCCACGACGCGCGGCATAGCATTGGATCGACAAACGGGGGGCCGCAACAGCCGCGTGCGATCAAGCTGAGCGGACGTGCCGTGAGAGAGCACGAATACGTGAGAGCGGGTGAGCGCGTGTGATCGGAGGGGGCCGTGTACCTGAGTTGACTTCCAGGGCGGCGTCCTGGCTGTAGCGCTTCTTCGCCGAGTTGGAGGCTACGCAGCGGTAGGACCCCTCGTCCGCGAGCTCCACTTTCGCGATCTGCAGCACGCCGTTGGGCAGCGCCGTGAACCTGCGGGGGGCACAGGTGGACGCACGAGCGCTTGATATGTGAGCACCACCAGCAGCAGCAAACAGCGGTGGTAAACAGCAGGGTCCCTCGGTGATCAAGACAAGCGTGATTACGTAGGTGGTGGTTAGTCGCGTCTATCCCCTCAAGCGCACTGCGAGACATTTGCTCATCCAGCCTGCGCAGCTGCATTCGAGGAAATCAAAGGCATGACTCAGTACGATCCTGAGCAGGCAACTACAAGAAAAACAACATCATCATCATAATGAGCATCATTGCTAGCATCATCATCGCTGGAACAATTTAATCGCATCATATTCTCTTCTCTAGTGGCTTTAAATCTAAAAATACACGAATTGATGAAAAAAATCTCATTCTCAGCACGCGCAATTCCATGCGCGCGTATCGCGAGATCCATCAATCGATGAATCGATGCGATGTTAAACCTCTGGCGCGGAGCGACGGGATGCCGAGACCCGAGTGGGTCCTCCAGCTATCAATGTCAGCTGCACGTGGCGGAAAAGCCGCTACAGTTGGGCACAGGCCAAGGAGAACGGAGCCAAGTGAAGCCCGGCCGAGGGCAGCCCGACTTGGCACGACCGGCGCGCCTGGCGTCTGCTCAAGCCGCCCACCGCCGCTTTATCCTTTCTCTTCCCCCGCTATTAAAGGGCGCTGCTTATTTATTTATTTACTCTCACGCACGCGCGTGCAGGAGCGCGCGGGTTCGCCGAGGCCACGTTACATTTGCAATCTGGATTTTTCGACGCAGCCTCTGCGGCAGCTCCGGCCGCAGCACACAACAGTAGGACGGGGTCCCACCACCTGGTGTTGGAAAAGGCGAGGTGATTGTATTATTTTTTTTAAGCGAGCCGAAATTGTAACAACTTCACAGATGGTGGACAACGAGTTGCAGACAAGGGGGTAAAAGGAATGTGTTGAGTGAGAATTTACGTGGACACGGACAGAGTCGGTAGCAAGGCTGTCCAGGGGATGGATTTCCAGAACCCACGAGTGGCAGCAGAAAAGGAAAGACTTCCCATTGAGCACAGTTGGTTGACGATGTTGAGCGTTTTGCCACGCAATGGCAGATGAAGAAGTTGACGACGATGATGATGATCAGGGCTTAATTTCAGCCAGAGGTGTCTGGAAAATATTTGCCCGTGGGGTCCATGAGGATGACGCTCCATGAGCATTTAAGCCTCGATGATGATTGGGGATCTTGCCTGGTTGAACTGAAGGAAGCGAATGAGTAAATGAATGAGCGCTTGATAGGCGTCTCGCCGGCGCTGCGTGGGGAGGTGTGGGACGTTGTGGGTTTGAGAGTCGAAAACATCGGCAGATGGCTCCTGTTGTCCCACCTGGCTCTCAACAGGATGGACGCATCGTGTCTTAATTACCGCCCTACTAATGAGGAAATCAGGTGCTCTGCAATAATATGACCATGTGTGTATTGTATACTTTGTGAATAGAGCTGAATAAATGTGTTAAGTTAATGAGTTTATTGTTTGGAATATGTACAAATTATTGCAATGGCATTAATCACTGTGATCCCACAACTGTTGTTTTTACTCCCATGCTGTTGAGTTTGTCACCCTATGGAATGCAATAATAATGAAAGCCTCAGTTAGCCTCAACGCTATTTTTTCGCAGGGGTCATGGAATGGGAAGTTTGATCAATTTCATTCATGAGAGTTTGGCATGGAAATAGAAACACACGAGGGGATAGCGGTCAAAGCTTTTGAATCCTTCAGTATGCTATTGGACCACCTCGGAGCGCAATGGGTATTTCACATGGTATTTAATGCACAATACATGTGCCTTTCCCCCCAATAATATTCATATCGTGCTGTCCGCCATCGCGTTATGAGCCTGAAACATTTCCATTTTTGGAACTGCAGCTAAGTAGTGCATCACCCCGTGTCAGAGAACAGCAGTGGGAAGTTAACATGACAGGCCTCCTTATCCGCAGTAGAAGCGCACGCCATTCATTGCCTGCAAAGAGTGTTTGTTGCATGTGGAAACTGAAGATGAAATTTTTTTACAGCTAGAAAAAGCAAAATTCCGTGAAAAAACAAATATAATTTTCGGCCGGTCAACAATGATTGGGTGAGACCATCAACTCCCCATACTTGTTTTAACCACGGATGGCTGAAACTTCAATTTAAACCCAAGGTTTTCAGTAATGTTGGCTCAGTGTTCTAGCCCTTGAAAATGAAACAGTTACATACACTTGTGCACCCAATCACACTAAAAGGGAAGATCCCCCATATAGCCACTAAAGACTGTAGGGACGAGTGTTGTTAATGAGCTATTAGCTGTCATGGGACATGATATGGTGGTGCAGCTAGTACCACCATTGGCTGTCCAGTCTCCCCAGTACTGAAGATATTTTGCTCAACTGCAGGTACTTATTTATGGCTGAGTTAACCGACGGAAAATACCACCGATGTTATTCATGTTTTCGGAAATCGACACACAGGTTATCAGGATCATAGCACATTGCGATATCCGCTGCACTCCCGCTCCCCAACACACACAGACGCGGGCGAGCGCAGCAATACCTCAACATGCACAATCCTGGGGGCCCTCTTATGAGTGCAGATTAAATGTTACAGCACCACAGTGACCGGCGGCCAGCGCTCGCATTAAAATGTCAGGGGCAAACGTTTAAAAAAAAAGAGAGACAAGAGAGAGAAAAATCCCATCGGAAGCATGGTTCTGTTTGAAATATCTCGGCTGCGCAACTGCGCTTGATGGACGTGGCAACGCGCTAAAGAGATTGGGATTAAGTGGTCACAGCTGCACGTTACTTACGAGAGACACCCAGAGCGAATAATTACCCGCAGTGGCATAATTACACTGGTTATGCACACAAACTAATCACCGCTACCGTTGTTGCTTTGGCCAGAAGCGGGGGGAAGGCAGATGCGGGAGAGGCGATAATATTATTGGGGAGCTCACAGCGCTTAGTGTCCTCGTTTTCGCGTGGCCAGGAATAAGAGCAAGAAATGGATCTGCAACGTGGATTCGAGGGTCTCCCGCACGGTGGACACATTTCAACCAAGCGGCGTCACAAAATTAACCCTTTCCCGTTCCGATGACGTACGATGATGTACAAGTACTTCATCTGAAAGGAATCGGAAGAAAAACTAAAATAAAATAACTTTATCGGTAACGAGGCTCCCACAAGGCCATGCGGCAGGGCGTGTGGCACAGTGTGACGCCAGCTATCGTAGAATGTGGTCGTGTCGCTACGGTTCTCTGCGGTGAGTAACAATGTCTTTTTTTAAAAAACGGCGCGACGCCTTCCTAAATAAAATTAACAGAATGGGGAAAGGGTTAACGGCATCTCGGAGCTCGGGATGCCGTTAACGCGCGCGTCCGTAATGCCACAATGCTCGCTCGCTCTTGCGTGCCCCTCACGCGCGTGGGTCCAGCCAACGGCCAGGCACGGGCGCTGGGGCCGTTCGCGCCACATAACGTGCAACGTGGGGGGGCGGTGCCTGGTGTCGTAAATATTTCACGGAGCCGAACAGAAAAGTTAAGAAGTATTTTGAGGGCGTCGGCAGAAAAGCAATTGCGGCAGGAATTTGGCAAGATGACAGTTTAATGAACCTAAGGCTAGAAAGTAATGAGAATCGAAATTGTAGCTTTATCATTCCAAATCTGATCAGCCGGCTGCTGAAAATACTTTTCGATTTTTTAGCACAGAGATTTAGAAATCCTATACATTCCTAAAAGGGTTTACGTTGTGTTTATACTACAACTTTTAAAGAGACATAAAATCATTTAGGTTTTATGGGAAACCCGTGATTTAGGTATATGATACATTAATAAAAAAGAATTAAACCCACTGTAAATAACAGCAGTGAGAACAGTCATTGTAAAGCTCTAAAGCTCTTTGCAGGCTGTTGGCTGCTTTGATGATTTTTTTTGACAACTCGCAAGCCCACCAACGTGACTTCGCTGCATTATGGCAAGGCCGTCGCCCAACCCTTGATTTTCAAGGCAGCCTGGCAAGAGCTGGCAATTACCGTCCTCTCCACGCACCTCCGATTAGGGCTCTTTACTGGCTCGTAAAACGTAATGATAATTATCAAGGCACCCACTCGGAGGAGCATTCCGCGCGTGTAAACGCACTCCACAAAAACTACACCTGCGATGCTACCTGCGGTACCGCCTCTCTCCACGCCTCGCGATGGACAGGGGTGCTGGGTGGGGCTCCTGCTCTGGGGGGGCGGGGGGAGGTTCAGGAGCTAAAACCCACACGCGCGCCCGATGAAGGTTTGTGCCAGCGGGCACGGCAATAAAATGGCACGCCGCACGTTTAAAGAGCACATTTGCTTGCTTCATTAACTATCGCTTCAATCATAAATATTGGTGCGGAGTGATGTTGTGCGTGGGAGGCTCGGGTGTTTGTGTGTGGGATACCCACTATTTGAAGTTTCCCCCTGCAGGGAGGTCTTGAGTGGATTTGAGATTTAGCCGGGGCGATAATACGCTGCCGAGATTGAGAGAGCGGAACCCACGGCCCTCGCCGTTTAAAAAGAATCATCCGGCATTACACCGCGACTGTGCAGCATTTTCACCGTCACAATTGGGAATCACGATTCAACAAACACCCCCCCCCACCGCCCCAGGGGATTACTGCGCCACAACACTGAACGAGGGGCCAAGCGTGAGCATAAGCGGCAAGAGCGTACGGCACCTGGGAGCATACGGGGATTCAAATCCAACACTCTCGCTCACGGCCAACACCGGTGACGATTATCTGAACCCGTCCTGGGCCTCCCCTAGGTCGACTCAGCCTCAAAACGAGTACCTGCTGCGGTGTGTAAACATCGCCACTAGGTAGACAAAGGCGGCCGGACGTGGTGCTGGCCATCCACCCCCTCGTGTGCCGTGCAGGCCTTCATAGGTGCTATAGGTGCTACTCGCGCTTGCCACAACAGTCTGTTAAGACTATCGGGGTGGGGCGCTGGGGGTGGGGGGCATCTTTCTCTTTGTGGTTTGTTGGAGCACAGAGGGACGGAGCGGGGGACGGTGGTCGTGGTGGGGGGGGGGGGGGTGAAGAGTTCTCACCGCGAGTCGGGCGGCAGGGCCGTGTGGTCCCTCTCCCACGCGATGACGGGCGGCGGAGAGCCCTCGATGCGGCACTGCAGGCGCGCCACGCTCCCCTCGGGCACCTTCTGTGGCACCGGGTGCTGGGTGAACTTGCTCAGCACTGGAGTCGGCGACCCGGCGGCCCGCACGCAGCACGCACAAAGGGCATCAGAAAAAGCCACACGTACACCAAGCAACGGTCCTCTCTGAAAATATGTAACAGGGTGGACATTCCTCTCGTCCGATTGCAGCTCCGATTAACACGGTTGGCTACGTACAGTGTGAAAGAAGTTTGACAAACGTACATAAGGAACCGAATCCCGTTCATCGACGCAAATGACGCCCTTCATCCGCACGCCACAGCGCAGGTAAGAACACAGATCAAAGGCGGCATTGTCTGTAGGGATGCCGCCATGGTGTCGTGTTTGGCGGACTGGGCTCACGGTCCAGAGGCCGCCTGTTTACATCTCCCGTCGCACGGCAAGTAGACGACAAAGTATCTTCAAGCCTGCCGCCTCCGTCCCCCCAACAGTATGAATGGCACACAGCTGCTAGTCCGTTGGTAGGTCGCGTGTTGTGGGATAACGTGTGGGTATTTACGCCTCTTCCAGAATGTCTGGCCAGCCTGAAAACAGAGGCCAAGTACCATACGGAGGGAGGGCTTCTTTAGAGCTCATCATAGTGGATGTCCTTCCACAAGCAGTGGCGAAACAATACAATTGTAGGACCGCACAATTAGCTTTAACGTGTCCTTCATTTATAACAAGGTGAGAGTGAAAGAGACAAAGGTTTACTTTTAAAAGTAGATCTGGGTTTAAACACAATTTACCGATTGGAGTCTGAGGGCACAACTGCTGAACAAGCCTACAGGACAAATCAGCGGCCCAATCTGACCATGGATCAAACCTCGGCACGGGAAGAGGGATGGTCGGGGGTTCAATTGGGTCTCTAGGGGCTCAGCCCCTTCAACCCCCCCCCCCCCCCCCCACTATAAAATGAGATGTATGACAAACTAAAACAAACCCCTCAATTACATTCATGCCATTTAATGCCACCTACATTCATACTGTCTAACAACATTCATACCGTTTAACTATGAAACTATCAGCGTATTGAAAACCGAGGGAGATGAAATGCTCCCTCAAGATGTAACGCGGAATGCAATATGATTCCGCGTGTGAGGAGCGACGCTCGTGAAGAATGAAAGCGAGTAAACTTCGTGCTGACTTTTGGGAGGTGACATAATAATTTAGAGGCACATCTTGAGTCACGAGCGCTTGTCAGTGGAGTTAGTAACCGAGTTAACTGTGGTGGTAAAGTGTTAATGTACACCTTTTAAATTGCACGGCGATACCGCGCTGCACCATCGTGTGTGCGCCGTCCACTTCGGGCCGACGACCGAGATCCAAAGACACGCAGGACAAATAATTTATTCTAAAAAATGTATTTAGTAAAAAAAAAAATTTCTCCAAATGTATCCCAATTGTGCTATCAGCGTCAGGTGATGAGATGATTAAATCCAATCGGATCTCTGGCAGAGAGCAGTGCAAACCCTTCGCGTTCGAGAACGGCCCACAGAAGTGGTTATCACAGAGCCACCTCTGAGATTCCGTCTCGTGACCTCTCTTCCACACAGTAGAGGGCAGCACTATCTCACCCGCTCTCTATATGACAGCAATCGTTTGTCGCACGACAGACTGATGTTTTAATTCTCATAGCTGGAACTGAGCTATATTGATTGCAGGGCCAATTTTTTACGTGATGCTTTTTGTGCGTGTGCAGCTTTAGTAACCGGGTTGAAACTATCAACTCACTGCACTTGGGAGCCCGGCTTAATCACACGTGCTTGTCTGGATCTTACCAGCGGTCAGCTCTGAGCCACAGGGCAACCTCACGCGACAGATTGCGGCACGAGATGGCAGACACTTGACGTGGGTCAGCGCTGCTATGCTGATCGGTAATACGGTGCTGGCTGGTAATGCTTATGGGTTTTTGACCGAGATTCAGGGCAGTGTTCTCCCACTGCAGATGAAGCAAATGAACAGGAATGGGTATCACGCGGATCAGCCGCTGGGCCCCATTAAGGAAAATAATAAGAAAAATGTCCGTGAAAATAAAAAAGAAAATCCCCTTAAGGTGGGGAAAAAAATGCTCTCTTCTTGCACCCAATTACCCATGAGCGAGAGACGGGAGTGGGGCATGAAAGAGGCACTGCGTGGTCACTTTTGCTTGACAACGTTTACGCCGTTAAAAATGAAACGTGAAATAAAACTTTCGGGGGGGGGGGGGGGGGAAGTACAAAGGAGCGAGGAAAAGAAACTGGGGAGACCCGGCTGATGGTCCATCCTTAAATCACCGCTCAACGGGTTACGCTCTCCGCTCGCTCGATCAAAGCAGGCCCACGGTGCTGGCTCAATGCGAGCTCGCGAGGACGATCCCCACGTCACAGACGACACTCTTGCTCGGCCGAGCAGCCAGCGGTTGATCACCCCAGATGGACTCGTTTTGTTGTTGTTGTTGTTGAGGAACTGGCGGTTTTGGCCGAATCCAGACGCAGCCAAAAACGATTTTCAATAAGTAGATACGCCGCACACTTGGTGGCCATCAGCTCGTTTCGAATTCCATGCTTATCAAGGAAAACGATGCCTCGGTCATGCCAACGTTGCAGAAACATAACTCCGCTCAATCCAAATAAGCCCATTAATCCCTACACCTTGGAAAAACAAAGGCGTAGGAGAAAAAATACATTTCCTAAAACTTCTTTTTTTAAATCAGAGGTACGAAAATACCCATGGGGGGCTGAAGGCTTTTTAGAATACTTTGGCTCAACAGCGGGCAGTGAGGGAGGCTGAGGGAGGCTGAGCCAGTCGGAGGAGGTGAAGGAAGGGCAAGAGTTGGGTGGTGGTGGTGGTGGGGGGGAATGGTTTTAAAAATAAAGTCAATAAAATGTGATGACGGACGGGCCGCCCAAGTCTTTCCAACAAAAATAAAGTCCCTCTAAGCATTCCAGCCATTTCGAACACCGAGCGAGCCGTCAAACAATGAGGGCCTCTGAACATTCAGGCGCCGACCGCCCACGATTGCAGCCAGCAGCGTGTTTCCACTCCGCGTGGTGGGAACATGAAACGTGGCACACACACGGCTCAAGGCAGCTGCAGACAAGAGCCAATTAAGACTGAGAACTCATTATGCAAACCCGATCGTATCTCTCTCTCTTCGCTCCAGTGACACTGCGCAACAGCCCACGGTGAAAACCTCGACAGCAGCGCAACTTTCAACCTTCCTCGCTACACCCAGTACCAGGCCCCCCTCCTGCCGTCTGGAATAAGGCCATCGCCGTCATCGTTCCACTGCTGCTGCGTTCGCGGCAGCGGTGGCGGCGTTTGAATCCGCAACGACTTTCAAGAGACACCGAGAGGAGGTCCCGTCTCTGTCGCCCGGTTTTCCAGCGACGATGAGCTTGGCTCCGCGTCTCCGAGTCACGGTCGCCTATGTCAGTAAAATAATTGGCCGCGTTAACACATTCCTGCGGAGGGAGCTGGTAGGAACGTTGGGTTGCTCGGTCAATGGCCAGGGTCAACGGCGGCGTGGTGTATTCCGCAAATATGCCCGAATGTGAGGGCGGGCACAAGCCGGCGTGAGTAGGTTAAACGTTGAATTTTATAAGGGCACCACGGGGTGACCAGCCCCTCCCCCCACCCACCCCCACCCCACCCTCCCCACCTTACCCCTCCCTCCCCACCCAGCCCCTCCCTGCACGACGGACGGACACAATAATCCCCTGTGGGCTGGTGGAACCAGGAGGTTCCTACCAGTATAAATTGCATTAATATGATGATGAATTATAACGAACGCGTCGAGTGATGTTTTGATTTTGATCACGTGGTCATCGGAAGCGAATCTCACGTCTCACCCTTGCCAAGTATCAATCAAAGGAACCCTTTTCTTACTCATGTGACCAAGGCGAGAGGACATACAATGAGGAGAAGGAGCGACGAGATTAGCGCGTGTGTAGTAGGAGGGAGCCACACGGATTGTTGCATCGTAACGGCCACGAGAGATGACGACGGCCATGCTCTACGCACTGCGAGATCATGGCTGGTGATGATGACAGTGAATCAGGGGCAGTACTCCATCGATCCTTGGTCATCATCAGTATTCGATACAAACAAAAATGATTTACATCTCTTTGGCAATCCACTGCTTGAAGGAGGCCTCCCCCATACTGTCAGTCATGGCAGTTGTTTGACCATACTTCACCACTCTGGGTGGTGCTTTTGGTGAAAGGGGATTGGACGGCGGGGGGGGGGGGCATGAACAACGAATCAGATCCCACTGCCCGTGGCGGGATGAATCAAAACTCCGGCTGTCGGGTGCTGAGTGCGGTGCGCGAACAACTGCACCACGGCGACTTTTTAAAATTAATATTATCACACGCTTTTTTATTTAACTCACTCTGTCTCTTGTTGTTGTTGTCGTATCCTCAAATCTTGTAACTCAATTTTAACCCACTTCCCAATGTAGTATCGACTGTAAATTTGGTATACTTATGTCATACTGATGACAATACGATATTCTAACGTAAAAAATATTTTAAAACATGATTTTATATGTTATGTTTCGGCTTGGGTCTAATTGTCCACGGTAAACTGACGTTGGCTGTAAATCACCACGGCCCCTTATGTTATGGCAAGCTCCGGTGGCCACTTCCTGGAGTCGTGGAGTTATTCAATTACTCGTAACGGTACATTTCATTAAAGCGTGTTTAAAAAAAAGTATTTTTAAATATGACTTAATTTCTCCGCTGCCAAATGAAATAAAATGAGTCATGCACGACACCGCGCGCCCTGCCCCGACAGCGCACAAATCAACGCGACCACGACAGTGGTTTGCTAAACAGCAATACTGGAATTAAGGTCAACATTTGTGTATCGGGGCCATGGTCAATTAGGCTACTAAGCTGTGCGGGGCAGGAAACCTTCAGCCGATTGCACCCCCCACCTCCCCTACCATGGCCACTGCCTCTCCACCACGGCCAAACTCCGCTCTCCCCGTGCACTTTTCCTGGAAATGTAAAATCGACAGAGGTGGAGGATGGGGGGCGGGTGTAGGAGAGTGCTG